GAAGTTGTGGGAGAAGTTGTGGGAGAAGTTGTGGGAGAAGTTGTGGGAGAAGTTGTGGGAGAAGTTGTGGGAGAAGTCGGGGGAGAGTGATTAGGAGGTCATTTCTGCGCGGGTTGCAACCAGTATGCAGGAGCTCCTTCGAACCTAGTACCAAATAGTCCAGAACCCCCATCATATATCTCTGAGAGCCGCCTGGCCGGGCGAATCACGTTTAACACTCCTCAGCACAGCATCAGTTGTCGATATCAGCCAACTGCTCTCCGAACACAGTGGCGCTCACGTTTGCAACATACATGCATGCCATGCACGTCCGCGTTGTTGAAACCTCTTGTCTGACATTGCATTAGTTCAGTACTAGATAACAGTTTTTCTAAACATTCCAAAGTCTTGCCGCCTTAGTCAATTGTCTAGTATCTAAACATCATTCAATTGTGCTTTGGGGGGGTGTTGCATGGCCATCTCCTCTGTGGATCCCATCCCCAAGGCGCTACCGGGCGCACCAAGCCAATCGGAATCGATCACGTGCGGAAACTTGACATCAAACCGCAAGACATGAAACCTTCCACGAAGCAACAGGGTTTTCAGATACGTCACATGTCTCGAAATCTCTCTGTACAATATTTCTATGCCTGGTTAGTACGGAGGAAGCTGCGCACGGCGACAGAGATATCAGAAAGTGCAGATAAAATCACAAGAGATCGCAGGTGAAAAGAAATTGACAGATCGGATTGATTGAAATCCATTCTGTATCTCTCCAATTGATGAAGCATCGCAAAGCATATCAAACCTCTTCTCGCGGTAAGTCCATTGGAGGTGGACGTGGTGTAAGTTGTCATGTACATAAGGGATGCTATCTGACACAAAATAGAACTAAAGCTCTACTGCTTGCGCAAAGAATAATACTGTGCGACAACTGCGCTCACCTTCCGCTCAGGAAACTTCTGGCAGATGCACGTCCGATAGGCAATGCGTCGGTGTGCTGATGGTGAAGATGTCCAAGCCATCATTCACAGTGGCAATCCTGTCTGCAGTGAAATCTGTAGGCAATGCGTTCGCATCGACCTGCCAAACCTTGCTTGGTGGCGACTTCATTTTACGGCAACGCAGGGGGGATGGATCGCGTCGTCCATCCACCTCACCGGTCCGCGAGCAGCGCTGCAGTCGAGAGTGATCGAGGGTGTTATACCTGTTATCTATCTTGACAGCTTGTCATTGATTAACTATAGATTCTTACACGAGAGTCAATTTAGTCCTTCCATTAATGTACATGAGGACCGCTATCGGACACGAAACTAAACTAAAGCTGTAGAATCATTCTCACTGCTTGCGCAAATTATAGTATTGTGCGATGACCGCGGTACGCCTTCGCAGGGGAAACATCTCGCAGATGTCTTCCTTGGACCGCCCTTCCTTGATGTACGCCAGCATGCAATCTCGCTCCAGTTCCGACCAGGCCTTGCGCTCCGTCGTCCGGGATCGTCTTGAACAGCCTGTAGACGACTCCTGGTCGCTACCATCGACGTCGAGCTCCGGCGACATTTCGTAATCGGACATGGCTAGTCCGTCGTCGCTGCCTGTTGGCGCAACCCGGCGCGGCCGATGAACGGGACCATAAGGGGTGCTGTACGCACCACCAGCAGCAGATGCGCCCGAGTGCCATCGTCCAGTCACCACGATGAACCCTGGCGAGCTTTGCTGGTACAGAAGAACCTCTGCGACCCCCTGGCGACCAAGGCGAGTGGCGATGAGCTTTTCAGGCCAGCATTTAAGGTCCACGTCCGATAGGCAATGCGTCGGTGTGCTGATGGTGAAGATGTCCAAGCCATCTTTCACAGTGGTAATCCCGACTGCGGTGAAATCTGTAGGCAATGCATTCGCCCCAACGCGAGCATTATTTGCATCGACCTGCCAAACCTCGCTCGGTCGCGACTTCATTTTATGGCCACGCAGAGGGGACGGATCGCGTCGTCCATCCACCTCAACGGTCCGCGAGCGGCGCCGCAGTCGAGAGTGATCATGGCGTGGTCTTGGAGAGACAGGCATGTGTCGTTGCCGTCGAACAGGATCTCGGCCGTGAGATGAAGAACGCTTTCGCTTGAAACGCTTCCGCTTGATCAGTTCATGTCCCGGGTGGCCAGCATTGTCGGTCGTGTTGTTTCCGTCATCTCTATCTTTCCGTAAACGCGACCGTCGAGCATTGCCATCTCGATCACGATCTTCGAAGTCGACAATCTGGGATTTCGCAGCAGTGAGTCGAACGCTGCCAGGTGCACGCCACCCACCAGAGACAGGGCCGGGGCCACGTCGCTCACGAGCGGCGACACCGCTGCCCTCGCTGCCAGACTCCTCTGCGCGAAGCGCGGAATCAGAATCGGAGCTGGTTGAGGACAGTGAACCGCGCCGTGGCCAACTTGTTGCTGGGTGGTCGTCCGTCACCCGGTATCCCCAACCTTCTTGGCGGCCAGCGGGTGGGATCATGGTACGGTCGGATTCGGGCGCGAGAATGCGACGAAGGGGCGTTCGTGGCCCCGCTACGCGCTGCCTGATGTAGCCACGGCCATCATGGCCACGGGTCTCCTCTGACCGAGCATCAGAGTCAGGAGCTTGCGCATCCTCACACAGTGAGCCCTTCGCCGGGCCCAGGTGCAACGCGGTCACGTCTGCTCCTTCAGCGTCTTCATCTACATTCTCGTCGCGTCCCTCGTCGATTTCGGGTTCGTAATCGCCGTCCAGTGTGATGGGATGGTCTGCAGAAACGTCAGAAGAGGAAGCCCTGCAAGCTCTTTCACCCATCTCGTCCATGCACTCACCTTGACTGCTCCCGGAAGGCGATGGGTTCGAGCGAAGAAAAGTACCCTCGCGGTCGTCAGAGCTGCGCAGATGCTCAGCGTTGCGATGAGACTCATTTTCCGGCGGTTTCTGCTGAGACAAAGATACGTCTTGTTCGCTGCCGATGCCCTTGCCTGGACGAGGCTCGTTAACACGCAGTACGGTTCCTGCGGACATAGATAGAGGACTTACCAGGTAGAAGAGATTCGACGTCGGGGAACTTGTCAATATGTATAAATCCATCATCGCCGGGGCTCGCCGCCTCCTCGCCCGCAGTGGTTCCCATATGGATGGGCAGCCCCTCATTGAAAGGCGCGAGCCCAACCGGAGAAGAAACAGGAGCACTCTCCAACGAGTTCCCTTGTGACTCACAGCCTTTGGGGTCACCCATCGCCGCCTCGCTGGCGTGTTCTCCACCATCGACAGCTGGAGACCCCTCGACGGAGCTCAATCGCGGCGCACCGATGGACGTGGGTGCACGATCACGCTGTTGTGTTTCCCGCGCCTTTGGCGGCACGTAGGGCCTGAAACCGAAGGCAGGCGTAGGGGGATAAGCAACAGGAAAGATCGAAGTTGCCATGTCGAAAATGGGATTGACCTGTGGCCTGTTCAAAAAGGTGGAAGGCGTGGGCCTTTATATAATTGCAGAAGTGACTGCATGGCCGCAGGCTCCAGCACCACGTTCGATCTGGTCTTGGAAGGGGCATGCGGCATCGTCGATTCTGCCCCTCTCCCCTTGGCTCTTGCCGCGACGTGGCGTCGCCAACCTCTGTCCGCCCAACGACGCGCACCACCAGCGTATCCCCGTGCCCTTGCGACTTGCGCCACCTCAACATTTTTGCCTTTCGTTTTTCCTCGCTCCGAGAGGCGTGCGCACCCTTGCGCGCTCGACGGTCCTCCTTCCCGAAAGTCGAGTCCTTGGAGCTGAGGCATTGAAGCCCCACCGCGTAATACGCTCGAGTATCCGGCCGTGACGGAAGAAGAAATACGAGCTGCAGCATCATCATCATCGCAACCGCACCCTGTCGATCCACGATCCTTCAATCTCGAGCTGAGGCTCACGCTCCACACGGCGCCTCCACCAGGCCGCAGGCGCTGTAACCCTGCGCTGCGACTTCGACAGGCAATTCACGGTCGGTTCCGGCTCTCGATTGTTCCCGTGTCCCTCATCAACGCGTCGTGCGCCGCGACCATTGGCGAGGACAAGTGGAACTGCACCTCAAAAAAAGGGCGCATGATCGTGATCGTCCAGGCGTTCTAGAGCCTAGGGGACGAGCGTTGCATCGAAAGTTCGCGCCAGGCGATTCCAACTTGCTTTTTTCATGGGCGGTAGCCTGTAGCCCTCGGAGCGCACAGAGTGTTGACGTCAGACTGGCCCAAACAAGATCGGCTCGGTGCAAGAGCCCACCGCTGGCGTCGAATGCTATAGCCATGTGAATGGTGGTCGTCGTCGGGTCGTGCCAATCCAGCCCCGCTCCTGCACAAGTCACGCTCGGTCTCACGCTCACTCGGCGATGCCGAAACTCGTCCCTCGCCCCTCCTTCGGCGCTGTTTGGAATGCGCTCGGCCGTATTGCTGCCAGCCACGCTTGCACATCGCCGCGTCGAGATGCGTTGCGCATCCCGAAAATGTCGCAGCTGGACGAGGATACCCCGAGCAGCCTGCGCAACAAGAAATTGCGATCCTGCGAGAACTCCTCCGGGCTATCCGGGCGAGTGGGGGCCGAGTGACCCAGTGTTGCCCTCCACGGTGCAACAGCCCCACCTGCGAACGAGCCCAGCATCCGACGGAGGCCGAGCCTGGATCAGCCCGAACGTCCATCAGCACGGATCTGACCGGCCTTGACCAGCCAAGAACCCCTACCTTGTTTGTTCGCTGAGAAATCAGGCCACGCCTCGTAGCAAGCAGCGCTGAGCTCGGCTCAGCCGCATCGAGTCCGTCGCGAAGGAGAGGTAAGGGAGGGCGGGCAGGCACAGAGAATCGAGCCTGAGCCCAGCTCATCTCGGCGACTGGGCAGCTAGGCAACTCGGTCGCGAGAAGCAAAATCTGTAGAGTACTGGATCGAAGTCGATCGACTTCAAGTCCACCAATACCTCAGACTGAAAGTTCACGTCCGAAAGCCGACAAGATCAGGTAAACGGCAGCGCAGAGCGGCGCTCGCTGCCGGCAATGGATGCGGGTGCAGGCTATCTGCCATGGGTCCTGCTCCATCAGAGGGGCGCGGATCGACACATTGGAATTTCACATTAGCTCTTCACGCCATCGACGTCGTCGTCGTCGTCGTCGTCGTTGGCGTCACCGCCAAGGGGACGATATGGCCAATGAAGTTGCAAGGGGGCACGCAAAGTGGTCGGGATCGAACGGCAGGAATGAACGCGTGCAACCAAGCGCAAAGAAGTGCAAAAGAGAGGATAGCAAAAGAGAGAGAGAGAAAGAGAGAGAGACAGAGAAGAGGAAAAGAGGGGGCGTGTTCAGAGTAGAAAAGAAAGAGGACGAAAGGTGCGGAGCGTGGTGTTTTGAAGGAGGTCGCGAGGCGGCACGGCGAATGCCGCGACTCGCGGAAGAAGCCACCTTCCCTGATCGGGCGACCTCCATTTCCCGATGCGGGCTTGCCAGCTCGTCTTATACAAAAAATAAAGAAAAAAGTTTCTATTTTGAAGTTATTATATACTAAAAAAACTAAAATCATTTACTAAAATATCTAAATACTATTAAAATAGTATTAAAAGCATAATTTTTATATCAAAAAAAATAATATTAACAAGAAACACTATAGAACTAAAATAGATTTTAAGAAAAAAATAACTTCTTGAAATCTTCAAAATAAAAAACTAGATTCTGGTTTAAAAAACCAAACTTTGACTTTCTTTAATTGCTTTTATTGCTTTTATTTATTTTTATCATTTTTTTGTATTATACTATTATTTTTTATTTTTTTTTTATTTTGATAAATAATATCTAGTATTAGCTTGATTGATTTTAAAATAACTTTTGAAAGTTTAATATATATTTTATGTATTTAAATTATAGATCCTGCTATAGCTTTAGGGCTGCATATAGTATAACTAAATAAATAAACAAACAAAATATTATAAAATTATATAATACAATTAAAAAATATATAATATATATTGGTAATATATATCCTGTATTGTCTCAAAATTAAATAAATTTTAGCTTAAAAATATAATTATAGAAGTATATTATAATAATTTTAAAAGTATATCTAAGTAATTACACAAAAGATTTTAAAGTATATAGTAGTAATTTATTATATAATGAATGTACTATAGTAAATAGTATGTATATAAAGTATATTTTTGTAAAAAATTAAATTTAGAAGTATATCTATATAAAAAATTATTTTTATAATATTTAAACTAATTTTTTTTATTTATTTTATTAAATTTTTTTGTACTAATTTTTTTATTACAAGTATTTTATGCTTGTATATATAATCAAATCATTTTTTATAGTATAAAAAATAGCTCTAGAATATTAGTTTTGTAAAGCTTTTCTAGTATTAATAAATATAAGTTTTATTAAACTATTTTTTAAATTTATACTAGATTCAAATTATTTCTTAATATTATTCAATAATAATACTTGTTTTATTAAAAAAAAATTAAACTAAAATTTTAATAGTATATTAATATATTTAAGTATAAATTTCAAGTATTTTTATCTTAAAGCTATTATAAAACTAAATTTTCTAAATAGTTTATAGCTAAAAAATTTACTAAACTAATATGATTGATAAGTTTTTTATGCTTAAACTAATTTTATTAGAAATTAATTTTTTATATTTTATATTCTTTTTAACTAGTTCTAGAACTTTACTTTTAGCCTCTAAAATACATTTTTTTAAATAACCTGAACATGTAGTATTTAAAATATATTCAAGTAAAATATTACTAGATTTTGCTAGATTATATTTTTTTTTCTTTTGTTATTTTTTAAAAAATAATAATACTTTACTTAAATAAAAAATAATTTAAAAAATAAATTATATATTTTTATTAATTTTCAACAATGTAAATGTTTGAATATATAGCTTAATATTGTTTTTTTTTTGCTAATTATATTAGTATTAAAATATCTTAAACTATAGTTTAGATATATTTAAATCTTGGTCTTTTGAAAAATTTATTTCTTTTTTCTAGCTAAATACTAGTAATTTAAAATATATTATATCTAATTTACAGTTTTAATTTTTAAATTTGCTTTAATTTTTACTTAGTGTCTATTATAACTTTTAGTAATATTTAAATATTTTAATAAGTAATTTTAGTTTATTTTAATATATAGTAATTTTAGAGTAAAAACTTTTTTTTATTTTTTGTAATAAAACTTTTCTTGCTTTTTTTATTTAAGAGCAAAATAATAGTAAATAAACTAGATTTTGAGTAAAGTTATAAATAGAATTATATTTATTTAAATTTATATATAAATAGTCTATATAAATAAAATTTAAAGTAATTATATTCTATTTTAAATTAAATAATAGTTGTAACTAGTTTTTTTCTAAGATTTTTGTATTTTTTAAATAATTTCTAGTATAATAAAATTTAAAACTATTTATAATATTTTCTTTTAAAAGTAGTTTATTATTAATAAATTTATTGCTTTAGAATAAGTTTTTTTAACTTTTTTTATGAGTAGCTATATAAAGTATATATATTTTTGTATAATTTATTAATATATATTATTTTATATTTAGCTATTTTATCTATTTTTTTATTTTCTAATATTTTTACATAGTCTAGAATTTACTAAAAGTAAATTTAAATATTATTGTCTTTAGAAGCTTAAATGATAAAAAAAATTGTAATAATAATTATTATTTAGATCTAGTTATAAAAAACAAACAATATAATATTATAAATAATATTAAATAATTACTTAATATTAATATTTATTACAAGCATTATAAGTATTTATATATAAATAATATAAATTTTTAATATAAAATAAATAAAAATATATATTTTAATAATTTATTTTCTATTTAAAATTAACTTATATTTAAAACTAATTAATATTATATTATTAAGCTAGAAGTTTTTTTTTTCTAAAAATAGTTTAAGATAAAAAATATATATAGTAAAAAAAATTTGAAAAAATAAAAATAAATTTTTTTTTTAGTTAAAAATTAAATTTAGATACTTAACTATTTTATAATATTTATATATTTTTTAATTAAAAAGTAGTTTTTTAAATGATATATTTTTTTAATTTAATTTAATTTTTCTTTTTTTTATATATATATTTTTTATTTTTATTTTTTTAAATATTATATTTAGTTAACTTTAGTTTTTTAATTTTTATTACAAGATATCTTAGTATTATAGTAATTTTTTTGGTTTTGACTTTGAAAAATATTTTGTTAAAAAAAAATATAAAATTGAAATTAAATGGATATTATGGGAAAAACTTTTTAAACCTTTTCATTATTTTATGTCTAGAAAAAACTTAAATAAAAAAATAAAAATTAAATAAAAGATTTTTAATTTTAAAAATTTGAAACAATTAACATTTAGATTTTAGCTAAAAATATTTATAACTATTTTTTAAATTGTATGTTTTGTAAATCTTTTGCCATTTATAGCTATATAAGTAGTGGTAAGCTTTGTTTTGATGGCCAGAATCCGAACCTTTGCAAACGAGAATTGTCCCATCCAGAAGCATGTTATATATTTAATTCTGGACATCCAAGGTTAAAAGAACATACCTTCACATAGGTAAAACAGCGAAACAGAATGCGCCCTCAAAGTCTTAATTTTATCACCGGCAACAAAAATAAACTTGCTGAAGTCGAGGCAATTTTGGGAAATGCTATCCCGCTCCAGAGCAGAGCCTTGGATCTAGTTGAGATTCAAGGAACTGTCCAGGAAGTTTCTACAGACAAATGTAGGCGGGCTGCTGAACTCGTAGGATTTCTATATTTCCCTCTTCTCTTTTGAAGGAACGAACAATGAAAAGGGTTGAAGCAGCTAACTTACTTTGCAGATAAACGGCCCCGTTTTAACTGAGGACACTTGTCTTTGCTTCAACGCCATGAAGGGACTGCCGGGTCCTTACATGTATGTATTATCTGATAGGTCAGTGAAGTATTTAATAACAACGTTAGAAAATGGTTCTTGAAAGCAATTGGTCCAGAGGGTCTACATAATCTCCTAGATGCATATGTAGACAAGTCCGCTCAAGCCGTTTGCACTTTTGCCTTCTCTGAGGGCCCTGGCCACGAACCAATTATATTCCAAGGGACAACTGAGGTAGGTTTTCAGTTGACCAGTTCCAACAAACTGAGCTTACAAGCGTTTCAAAGGGCAGAATTGTTGCGCCACGTGGACCGACGACATTTGGTAAGCCACATAACCTCAGACAAGCTCCTTGGGATGGCAGTGAATTGACAAACTCCCAGGCTGGGATCCTATTTTCGAATATGATGGAAAGACATACGCGGAGATGGACAAAGAAGAGAAAAATCGAATTTCTCATAGATACAAAGCCCTCGAAAAACTTAGAGCATGGTTGCAACATGAAGACTGAGATGTGTCAACCAATATCTTCTTCGACGGAAATACCAGGAGCTGTACATGGACGTGGCTTGACGAAGCTCCTTAGATAAAAAAGATGCTGGTCTTTACAGTGGCTACTTGGCCGGACCGAGAATTACGTCGCCTGCCCGTATCCGCCCTGCTGAGTAAATATTCAGAGATTGCAATTCCGAGGTAGAACATTTTATTCGGTCAAATATCGATTCATAGATTTGATTTCAAGCTTGAATGCAGCTGGAAAATAAAGAATGCGCGGACAGATTCTAATGTTTGATATCGAAAGAAAGATGAAAGATAAAAGATAAACACATGCTGTCGAGTTAAATGTGATTGATGCACAGTGGAGTTGCCAATATGATCGAAATCTTTGAAACAAACGGATGGCACAATTGACGTCTCGAGAACAGTACGAGACTCTAAAAATATGTTGACGCCATTTGCAGGAAGAGAAAAGACGTAGCATTTGTCGGAAAACACATCCAAATCCTCGATTTGAAGGCAAAACGAAACCACTAATAAAAGCCTTGTTGCATATTGGTATCAAGAAACGCAATTACCAAGAAACGGGACGTATCATATACCCTCAACGTCACTTATTGCCAAGCCCTGATGATTGCTGGTAGGATTTGTCGGTATTTCGAATTCCATCCTTTCTTGCTGAGCCATCGCCTGCGACGACACAATCTCTGCCAGGCGCTTTAAACGCGGCGTTTGCAACCCTGAGAAAATTAGTGAAGGCCAGAGATGATGTGCGGATGGAATCATACACGAAGGGGTGTAAGTCTCCAATGCCGTGATGACGCGTGGTTCAGCAATCTCATAAGGTCCACTGTCATCCATGTCTACAGCAGTTAGGAGTAGTACATCGCTTTTTTCGGTAACGCGGGATGCAACTGCTTTCATTATCTCTCCATTGATGGGGGTCTCATAGTCGGCAACGAGATATTGATTGAGAAGTTTTTGGATTTGATTGGGAGATAGCCTGGGGAACAGATTAACAACCGCACTGAGACACCAGAGAAAAAGCAGGGCAGGCTAAACGTACATCCAACATATGTCTTGTATTATTTCAATGTCATTAAGCGTCGCCTTTTTCAATTGTAAAAGCTTCGTTGCTTGCTACAGCCCCGATTAACAATAAAATCCTCAATTCATACAGGAACTACTTACCATTAGATGCTCCAATTGTAACGTCCCTTCAGGCATGTCGTGGCTCTTGCACCATTCCTCTATACGTGTGATGTTATAATTAATCTGCAACCCGCGTTTCCAAGAAAGGAAATTTCGGCGCATGAGCAGGTCATTAAATGCTGTCACACCTACCAACCTGAGTAACTCAGTGACTGTTTGCGTGATGATAGAGTCTTCGAGGTAGAAAGCCTTCATTGCCTTGAAGACATTGTTGAGAAGGCTAAGTAAGTTGTCCATGCTGAATGCTGGTGCACTACTGGACTGAAGAAGTTTTCCGAGGAATCGACTGCTTTCGTTTGTAACGAAGCCTGGAAGAGATTGAGATTCAATAATGGCTGGTACTATCATCTTATGAAGCTTTTTCTTTAGTACTTTCATCCATGTGTGGTAGATGTTGAACTCTAGGCTCTCTAGATCATGTTTCACTATTTCTAGAAGCCGATCATACTCGTAATTGTCGGTTTTTTGGGCCTCATACCAGTCCTCTGCCAGGAAGACGAACGATAGCATTTCATGGACGTTAGAGAGCCAGAAAGCTCCTGGATTTATGGCATCTTCTCCGTCGTGCTGCATAACTTCCTGCTGGATAGATTGCATAACATTGGCTAAGAATCGTTCCGACTCCTTGACGAAACCATTGTTCCACATTTCCGAGGTGACCAGGTTGATGAGATAAGCGGGGAACAAGACTTCTTTCTCCGTGGGCGGGGGTGTTGTGCTTGGAGCGGGGATCTTCAAATTACGGATGAGACCCATTGTTACTTCGTCATTTAAGCCGTCTTCATCCGAAAGGAGGCTCTCCAGCTCAAATTCCACATTCTCAGGCGTTGGGCTGAAAGCAGAGCCTGCAAAGTTCGGGCGACTGAGGTTGCCTGTCACTGCCATAGAGACAGGCCGAGGGTTGTACGCTCCACTGAAACGTTCCGACTCACTTCTTTCCGCGCCCGCACTCCGTCTCTTGGGTTTCTTTGAAGAAACCAGATTGATCAGGCCATTCGTGGTCGATTGCGTGACAGAGCCATTTTGCAACTCTCCCATACCCGGGCCCCTCCGCTTAGCAAGCTCAAGCTGCTCCTGCAGTTCAACAAGTTGCTGCCTCAACGAGACCTTTTCATTTTCGTGATGAGAACCGGACTCTCTTGCTTTATCGAGCTCTATGTTCGTGAGACGCAGCGATTCTCTTAGAGAATCGCCCTCCTCTTGCAACCGTTTCAAGTTGATTGAAGATTCATCATAGCTCTTTTGAAGTTTCTTCATTTCTTCCTCCATGGCAATCAATCGTGCAGCTGATATACCAGCTTGATTTGCCTCGGCCTGAAGCTCTCTAGAGCGATTCTCTAGTGTATTGTGACGATTTTTCCAAGACTTCAGCTGGTTTTCGTAGCTCTCAACCTGGCCTATGAGAGCTTTGTTTTCTCGCTTCATGGTTCCGAGCGATTGTGTCAGCTCCACAACCTTGTTCTCTAGCCGGTAAGAGATCTGCTTGAGGTCTCGTGCTTCCTCGCGCAGAGTTTTGTAGGTTCGCCGAGCTTGCTTTCCACGCCAGATACTTTGAATGATAATGACTCTTCTTCGGTAAGTCTTCCAAGACTTTCTATTAATATACGATCTCCAGGATCGCTGAATTGTTCTCGCGGCGTCTCCGAGCTTAGTATCAATTATGCGTTGACGACATAGATGACCTCTTGAGGCAGCCTGCATAAGTATGACATTATTCCTGATTCGGTTGAACTTCTTCGCCTCCTTCTGTCCTTTCCAGACCCGCTGGATAGTCGTAGCAGCCTTGACGCAGCGGATCTCTTGCGCTTGTCGCCGCGCGATAGATCCTCGCATCAAAGCTTGTAGCCTTAGGACAGATTCTCTCGTTTCAAGATATTTGCGTCGGAAATACTTGCAACGGAGATTCTTTTGTATCATTATCGCGCAGTCATTCAACCGTGCAGCTCTAAGGCTTTCAAGGAAGGCCAACATTCCGGCTCGGAAGAATACTTTGGTGAGACCAAGTTGATATTTGTCGAGACCTTTGCCTTTTCCAGAACCTAGAGCCCGACTCAAAATAACGTTGGCCATCTCCCGAATGTCATGGGTCCATGATCCTGAAGGCACCAACATATAATACCTCAAGGCAAACTCTTCATATGTCCATCTTGTCGGATATCCTGCACAGCTGATTCGAACGGTCTCGAGAACACCACAAGCTCTGAGCTGATTGAGCACCATTGGACCTTCGAACTTCCATGGCTCTTTACCCTCGTTAGGCTTGATGCAGCGTATGTAATGCACGTCGGTAGAGTTGATTGTTGTCATCAAATCGATCAAAGAAGCTTTGAATATTCCCCCAAGCGTAGGTTTCCTATTGGCAGCAACTCCGACCCGGCGTCCAGGTGCTGCAGAGGGTCGATTACCTGCAGCAGCCCCAGTCTCCTTTTCACGGACAGCCGCAGCAGCTTCTAGGACCTCGCTCAGGAACTTGTTTGATGAAGCCTTGAGAACATCCAGGTGTTCGTCAGGAACGGTGTCTCTGTTCTTTTCTATGAACCCCTCGGACTCATAGGTAACGTCGGTTGCGTAATGGCAGACTGTGAATGCAGACTTTCCAAATCGTGGTTTTTTATAAAACCTTTGTTTTTCTCCAGCGTAGTGGTGATGGAGTTTGGTCACGAATTGTTCGTCCGAGCCCATTGGTAATCGAGACTCCTCGTCTAGCAAAGATAGAACACCAAGTTTGCCTTCTATAAGATCTATACAAGGCTGATTGTCCGAAAAGTCTATAAAGGTCCAATCTATTTGTTCTCGGAGATATTCCTCCTGTTCCAGCTTGAAAACATGCTGGTTGAACTCCTGCTGAAGTTTCTCGTTGGCGTAATTGATGCAGAATTGTTCAAACGAATTCTTGGCGAAGTGCTCGAAGCCATAAATATCTAGAACTCCGATGAAAGAATGGACGCGGCTGAGTACTTCTTCAGTAGCGAGACCGCGGTTGATGATATCCACAAGCCAATCAAAGAGGCTCGAATAGATATACTTGGCTACAGAATCCCGAACAACCAGAGCCTGCTGTTGAGTAAGATTAGATATGATCTTTTCGCCCCTCGTAACAAGTTGTTTTTTGACCGTCCACTTTGCGAAATCACCGGGATTTACCCCGAGCAGCTCGCAGGCCCGAACGAGCGACGACTCTGAAGCTGCCAAAACTGACTCTGTCCTTGTCGCGGTGATCTTCACATTTCCTAGGTGCAGGAGCGCGGCCAGTAAACGGAAAATCTCCGCTTGCTGTTCACGTTTGATGCCTATTGTAGCGAGGGATGCTCGGGTTGCGTCAAGCTCTGATCTGTCGTCGACACCTTCAATGATTGGATCCCCGCCTTGATTGAGGTATTCGAAGTGTTCAACTGGAAGGAGACCCAACATTTCTCTCTCATCATCCGTAGCGCCGGCGACTAACTGGTAGAAAATATGGTAGTTTCTCTCTTTCAATGGCTGGAAAACGAGCCTTGAGCGCTCTAAAAGGTAGGTTCTAATTCTTGCCCCAATGATGTCTGTCTCCTTATCGAACATGATTTCGATATATTTTCCGAATCTCGAAGAATTATCATTGCGTGTCGTCTTAGCATTGCCGAACGCTTCCATTATAGGGTTGGTTGCTAGGATTCGCTCTTCGGTTTCACTCATAACATCTGCTCGGCCCTTTGACCTTTTTCCAGATTGCTCCGGCGCTTCTCTCGTCGCGAAATATCTCATGATGTATTTAGCACTGACAGTCTTACCAGCGCCCGATTCGCCTGAAACGACTATTGTTTGATTTCTGTTGTTACGCAACATATCCCTAGAAATCATGAGTATAAAAGATCTGAAAGCAAGCCGCAAAAGACTCACGCAAAAGCTTCCTCGGCAATGGCAAAAAGATGCGGAGCCTGAGTAGACCGCTGTTTTCCAGCATATACCTGGACCATGCCAGGAACGTAAAGCGAATCAACTCGAGCAAAAGGATTTGTGGCAATGAGCACTATGCCACTATACGTGTATATTTCTTTCTGCGCATAACGGAGTTTTATTGCTTGCAGTACTGCAGAGGATATTAGAGGAGAACCGATCATTGACGTTTGGGCGACATACCGGCGGGTTCATTGAGGTGAGAAAGGTTGGTTAGATCATCGCTTGCTTCCAACACAGCAGGATTCATAAGTGGCGGTAATATAGAATTCCCTCCATCATGAAGGTCGGCAAGCGTTGTCTCGACCGTTTTGGACTATGAATTCGTAAGATTGTTAGGCTCAATCTCCAAAAGAGCAATAGGTTTGACACCAGTACCTCCCCATTGGACAGTTGAAATGTCAAATGGACTTTGTCTCCATCGAATTCTCGCTGTACAACTTCTGATGCAACCCATCCTTCAACGGGATCAGGCTGCCATGCCCGCGTTCCAATATCGTAGGTGTGCGCCATGGGCGGTGCTATTACGCAGGGTGTCGCTGCACCCTAGCCTGGGAAAAGAGTTCTCAGAAGGATTCCGGGGAAATTAGAAGATTTAGACCAGTGAGGGCAGCCAGATATTAAGAGGCTAGTGAATTGGAGAAATAAAAGACAAATGACATGAAACACAGGACTCGGAGAATTATGAGGGAAAGAAAAGTCACAAGTTGTTGGTAGGTCGTCCCTGAATGCCTTCCCGGGGGAGGGAAGTGTAGTCCTTGTAACGGGTAATCGTTAGTGCGTACCAAGAGTTTCGAACTATTTCAACCTCCCTTGTACAGTCGAGGACAGCACTGTAGTACGGTACCTCCACACTTATTTATAAACGGAGGTACTTTAGCGTACCGCTGCATATACCGTCGCCTTCCGGAGTAGGTACGTACCTAAGGTACTCTAGTGTTCGCTGGAGAACCCACCAAATCGCAAGCCAGGTAAGCAACAACGCAATCAGCAATCCCGTCCCCCTTCATGCGACCAGCCACAATATATGTTGCCATGGTTGCTTCGAACTCCTGGACGTAATAGACGTTGAGAAGCAGCAGATACACAATAATTGGAGTTTTTAGAGTGAGTCATTGCAAATGAGATTGAAGACACACCAAATACATATAATCAAAAGTTGTTGTGATAGGGACTCCGCGCCGTGACTAAATCTCATGCAATCCTGAAGACGTGCAATGCATTCCAGTATGATTCGAATTCACTTTTAGTTTCTTGAAAAATACAATAAAGTCATTGATCACCGTTGAGGTGTCTTCTAAATCGCCCAACCTTCAAACGTACTCACGTCCTGCATCATTCAACAACCGTGTTGAACCTCTACAAGCAGCTCATGCTACTAACGCCTCTTATTCAATCGTGAAACTGTAAGTGCCGGAGGCAGATATTTCTCTAATAAAGAATTCGGGTCTTTATGCAGGCTGAATGATCATCAGCATCTCGAAGTGTGAAGCACAGATTGCACACTTACAGTTCAAGCTTTCCAGTTCCTCATAAAGCTCTCGTACACCGTTGTGATCCACGTTGCTTATATCGGCCATCAAATAGGCGACCTAGCAATGTCAGGCTGAAAAGCCGAAAAGCTTAAAATCAATTTGAACAACTTACGTCTCCTCTGCTATCGGTCATTTGCTTATCAACATTGTGATCTCCAAGGATTTCATTGACTAAAACCGGCTCAGCATTCATCTTGGAACAGTATTGAGAATTTGGCAGTGCCAAACACAAAGGTTGATATACCTTTTCGCAGGACGCCAGGAATATTTTGGTGGATAAATATGACCTTTCATGGTTGGTTAGTTGAAGTGACGAAAGACCGGCATTGGACCACCTACTCGGATATGGTCGGAATCCTCAAGGGTCAGTGAGCGAAGATTGACCTCAGGCATATTGACAGCTCCGAGAGTCACACCTTCGTTTACATAGCGAACGAGCGCCTCACCAACCTCAATTCCGATGGCGCTTTGTGCTTCTTCAGTGCTTCCGCCAATATGCGGGGTAAGAATTAGATTTTTGAGACTCCGAAGGTCCTCGGCCCAAGTGTTAAGATCATTGTGGAAATAGTTTCCATTACCTGCAGGCTCGTTGGGGTAAACATCAAGCGCAGCGCCGGCAACTTTACCAGTCCGCATTGCGTCTATCAAAGCAGGAATATCAACAACGCTGCCGCGACTCGCGTTGATTAGGTAACTGCCGGTTCTCATCTGCTCGAACTGCTTTGGACCAATCATGCGTTGAGTCTCAGGCAGCTCGGGGACATGACAGGTAACGAAATCTGCTTCGCCAAGAAGCACTCCGAGATCCGGAACTTGTTTAGAAGTACCCAAAGCCATGAGATTGACGATATCATAATAGATGACTGACATCCCCATGGCTTCAGCCAACACGGAGAGTTGGGATCCGATATGGCCATAACCGATTATACCTAGCAAACACATCAATAGGATATACATCATGCAGAACTGGGGAAAATTACCTAAAGTTTTTCCACGAACCTCCCAACATCCTTTGCTAACCTTGTTCCAGATCCCCTGATGAAGTTCATTTGAGCGATCCCCTAATTGGCGAGCCAGCGCAATAATTTCACCAATAACTAGCTCGGCAACACTCCGGGAGTTACTGAAAGGAGAGTTGAAAACGGCAATTCCATGATCCGCCGCATACTGAAGATCAACCTGGTTCGTTCCAATGCAGAAGCACCCAATGACAATCAAGTTTTTGGCCTCTCTGAGAACATTGGCAGTAAGTTTCGTTTTTGATCGGATCCCGATGACGTGAACATCACTGCAGAGAAAGTCAGAGTTTCAAGTGGGTAAGCATTGTGCATTTTTTAGACTGACCGAATCTTTTCGATCAGTTTGTCTTCAGGCAATGAAGACTTCAAGAATTCCACCTGATAGCCTTGCTTCAATAATATGTCCCGGCCCGTTTGATTGACGTTTTCCAAAAGCAATATCTTAATATCTCCGGTGTTAAATGGCTTCAGGTGCTTGACCGATGCCTTCCGTGCCCCGCTAAAGCTTGAAGGCGGGGACATAAAAGTGGCCGTAGGCGACGTGGATACACTCCGAGTTATCGAGACACGCCTTGAGTCAGCAGCTCGATCGGCCGGGATATCAAGAGCTGGCAAAACCATAGTGATTTGTTCCCACTTATGAAAATGATGAATAGTCTTGCACGAGGGCAGATGATTCACTTGCAAAAGGCGCCACTCCTCTTTTTAAGGTTCATTCAACTCTCGCATGTACACGGATCTAGGCGGCCTTTTAGCGTCTCGCGCCGATTTCGCAATCTGCAGCACGTGAGCTGACCAATAACACGAGACTAACCCTTGTGGAGAAGTTGCAAATTGCTATCGTACTCGGGGACGTTACGCAAGTCAAAAGAGCCACGATGCTAAGCCTAATATTTGATATGCTAGCGATGATAACCACGAAGGAAATTTACTCTGGTCTTATTGACGCTATTATTGAACGTTATAGTGTGGGCGACGATGAACTCGGTCAAATCTACAATCTTCCGCAATGACTTTTTTCAGAGCGATAACACGTGACAGCTGCCATGTTGGTCGCAAGTAGCTCCGCCGCCAGATTCCTGTCAAATTTGGTGGAAATCGTAGCGGCATGGCATATGGCCTGCTCCAGTACGGTTTCGGCATATCTTGGCAGTAAATTGTAACCTAAGGTATTGGCAAGCGGGAGCCAGCTGCCGTCAATGAATGTCTGCTTTCGCAAAATTCATCCTAGCAATTCAAGGCTGCGTTGAGCAAAGATGATAGAAGAGAAGTCAACCATCAATCGCGCAAATTAATACGAACAGGAAGGAAAGAGACCAGCTTCTCAATCAGGAGGGGACAAAAAACAACATGACTGGCAAGAAATACAAGCAGTCTAAAGACCGCAAACTTGGAGATAAAGAACGGCCCACGCCCGAGCATACTCGTCTCCCGGTCCAATTTCTCGGAAAAGTTAACCGATTTGAGCTCAGCGATCGCTATTATAAATCTCGGCAGGGAGATACTGAAACACTTCTCAACAGAAGAAGTCTAGCTTTTCAGCATTTAACTTTGCTTGCACTCAGCAGCTTCTTGCTTTGGCTTAGAATTGTCATCCTAGACACGATGTTAGGAGAGGATATAAAGGTGATCTGGATTCCAAAAACATACCTCATCTTCGGACTCATCATCCTCGTCACGATCTTCGCTGAGGTCATCCTCCTCATCATCCTCGTCCTCAAACTCACCATCATCCACATCCTCATCCAATTCTTCGAATTGCAAGGCCTCCCCGGTAAACCAGTCAATCGCTCGGGGAATGAGCTTCTCTTTGATGTCCTCTCCAAGTTGGTAGTCTAGCTCCAAACGCTCTTCAATATCCGAAGCGGCATCATCGTCATCCTCAGTAGGAGCTTTGGGGGGGGAGAAGAAGTTAAAGAAAGATTCCGTCGGAACAGTCTTTTTGACGACACGCGTCTGCTTTGTATCTAAGGGAGGATGAGCATTCGAAAATACGAAAGCGATGAAATTGGCAAAACCCACTCTTGTTTCTTTGCTTCTTACTCTCTATCCGAACCGTGAGGTCTTTTCCGGTCTTCCAGTCGATCTTATCGCCTTCGGCGTGATCGTAAATGAAATCACCACCATATCCACTTTCCTCCTGGTAAAAATAGGTCTTGCTGATAGTCTTGTTTGCGAAAAATTCGTTTGGCGAAAACTCAAAGATCAGGCGGAAACCCGGGCGGTCTAAATACTCCATGCGCACGTCAATGAGGTATTTGAGAGCTGCCTCGTCCCGGTCCGTGATCATCTCGGCAAGTGAGATTTGATTCTTCATAGATGACAGCCAGAATTCTGGAATTCCGGCCACAGCCTCCGAAGCTTCCTCATTCTTCTCGTCTGTTGAGCCGACATGTTTCTCCAGTTCTTCGTCTCCTTCTTCACCAGCCTGCACCTCTTCAGAAGTAGGTTCCTCCAATCCATTAACGATCTTGGAGCGTTTTTCATAGAGCGGTGTGAATTTTGCAAAGTACTTCTTTTCAAGTTGAAGAACTTCCTCTTGAAAGGCGGCTTCCAACTTGGAGTGCTCCTTCTGAACTCCCTTCAATCCAGCGACGCGACGGCGGACTGGTGCAGGAAGCGACTCAATGTAACCAGAAGAGCGGCCCACAAGCGATCCAAGTTTCCCCTGAATCATAGAGACTAATTTGGGGTTTTGTGCGAAGATAGACGCGGCTGCGGTGCGGTCAAAATCTTCTATGGAGAAAATTAGCGAAATGCCTCGAGATTTAGTTGATATCAAATAGATCGCAGACCTTCCGAGATACTAGACACGCCCGGCTGCTGCGCGTGAGAAGATATAGGGGCATTATTTGCAGGAGTATTCTGAGGTGTCCTGAGTGGCAAGTTTAGCAAAAGATATCCTACCGTCGAAACGTTAGAGGATCACTCACGGCGCAGGCTGCAGGTCAAGTCTTTTATTGCGGATTGGTTCCGACATATTTACGAGGTTATCAACGAAATCCTCAAGATCCCAAGGTCAGGTTGGTGGTAATCTCAAGATCTCGAGGCAGTAAGCGGTGAGCGTTTTGATGGAGGTTGAGGCGTCGTTGAGGAAATTCTTTGAGTGCAACTGACGACGCTAAGTAAGCATTCCCCTGCGGGCAGAGCATACCCCAACCTGACTACGGGACGCGATACTTACCAGAGTAGTTCCGCTTCTCCCAAGGCGGATTATTTGTGTATTCCTATCACGGAAATTTTGGTATGAAGCTGCCTACCGTACTACTCTACTGTAGGTAGGTACCTTAGGTACCGTAGATACCTACCAAATGTACCTCAGGTAAGGCACCGGGAGATTATGGTATGAATGGTCAAGAAATACATCTAGGATACTTGAAGTTGTATGCTGCTATCTGATGCTCTTTGCCCTCCTCGGTATAGCACGCCTCCTTGTCACTTAATTATTCGAGAATGATACGAGCACTGAGCGCATCAGAATTTGATTTGCCGAACTTGGGCGATATCTCATGAATTTGACTAGTTGTGTATGTATAATACGGATCACAAGGTAGCATAGCAACAGTCATCTTCTTGGGTAATGTCATAAATAAATTTATGGATAATATAGCAGATATGGCAGCTTTAGGTTAGTTTTATCTACCTTACCCACCTAGTATAACTTATGTTACTGTGGCTTCTTTTCCAGTTGAATCAATTGACCTGTGTACCATAAAAAGGTAGTCGCCCAAGACAACATGGTTGTCATATATATAATGCTTAAATTACTTCATTTACCAGAATCTTTATCATGTCAAATACCCTACTGCTGATGGCCGGGACTGGTTCCGTTCAATGCCGTAGCTACCTTATGCTTTTCTACCTCGGTACTCCGATAGCAGCCTTTGCGTCAGTCTGAAGGGTCGTCTGTTCGCTGTTGTCTGCTATCGCGACGGTGTCGACCGCATGACCGAGGCGGACCTGTGGAAATATCGCCTGAAATATACCTACCGTACCTATAGGTAAGGTGCCTAAGGTATAGGTAACTTCGTACTCTGATAGTACCGAGGACAGAATACGGAGTAGACGAACTTCCGTACTCTTCATTCGTACTATAGTTACGTTACCCAATACCAACATGCTTTGACCACTCAAACCAGCAGCTGCAACTAGCGCATTCTACCTAGCGTAAGCGATGTGCAGCGAGTTATGTTTCCTATCTTATCTCTTTCAGCGTTTGAGATACTTGATAATGTTCGCATAATTGTTCATTTGCTTCCTTTAATAATCTCAGATGCACGAATTTTTGATCGCGCAGCATGGATGTGGAGAATCCACTTATCGGCAGTGATGGGAGTCCTGAATTCTATCATGATGGAGAAGCATCAGTCAATAGACACAGCCAAATATATCGGCGTGGCTCAAATCTCAGCGAGTCAGTCTTGTTTCGATTCGTTTCAACGATCATTATCTAACTTATATGAAGGACAAGTTTTGTCTCTAACGTTGAGATGGCTCATGATGAGGTGCAAGGCGTGCACTTGTATTTTCAGAGCAAGGGCTAACGATGACATATAGGTTTTTGCTGGCCCGATGCCAGAAAGCGTGCCAAGTAGTATATCATCTTTCGCTCATCGCAGAAACAGAGCTGATTCAACTGCCGCGAGCTTTACGTACCTTGATATGAACGAACAGCAAGACTGGGATATCGGCGGTACAGAAATTGATGGCGATCAAGAATATGGGTTTGAAGAATGTGATGTTGATTTGGAAGCTTGCAATCTCTCCCACCCGCGCCGCAAGTCCTCAACATACTCAGGAATTTCACCCGAAGATCCTCTATTGCGGCGCCATATATCTACAACGACAGACGCCAGTGGTGTTGGACGCGGGCATCGAGTCAGTCAAAAGATATACATTCTGACCGAGGATATGACCATTGTAGTTGCTGGGTTTTCGACGAACGTTATTGGCTCTATTATTTACTTTTCTCTCTGCATACTTTCTTTCGGTTTAGCATATCTCCTATTTAAATGGCTTCCGCGATGGAAGATATTCCTTGTGGGCTCTGCTTCTCCTCTCCGAGATTGCTCGTGGGTAGTAATAGAGGTTCGTACATTTAACAAATCTTTTTATGGGATGTGGACTGAATCAATAACAGAACCAATGGGGAGAGTTGTCTCTACATGATATATCGAAGCAGTCATACGGGCGTCCTTTATCGACAGTTTTCATGTCCCAAGAGAAAAGTCCCATCGGCGATGAAGAATATGACGAAGAAGACCCAATAATTGATTATCTTCGGTCCATAAATTATCGCTATGTCACGTTCTTCTACCATCCTTTGAACGGTAAATTCGTACTTTCCAACGACTGGAAAGACCCAAGTTGGACTGATGTTCGGTCTGTCCGTGCTGGGCTTGATGGAGAGGAAAGGGATATTCGTGAGAGGATTTTCGGAAGAAATGTCATTGAAATTGAAGAGAAGACCCTTTTCCAACTCCTTGTTGATGAGGTTTGAACAAGCATTCCGCATTCATGAAATTTGTGACTCACATTCTCAGGTCCTCCACCCTTTCTATATTTTCCAGATCGCTAGCTTGATTCTTTGGTCTCTTGACGAGTATTATTATTATGCGGCTTGCATCTTCGTTATATCTGTCGTCAGTATCGCTACCACGCTCATGGAAACAAAAGCTGTAGGGCTCATATCTTTTCATTGCTGGTTTGATGCTAATTGTTAGACAATGCGCCGTCTCCATGAGATTTCGAGATTTGAATGCGATGTTCGGGTTTTGCGAAATGGGTTTTGTACGTAAAAGAAGTACTAGGACAAGTGCGTTGCTAATGATTAGCAGGGAGACATGTTTCATCCGGAGAACTTGTTCCTGGCGACGTCTACGAAGTCACTGACCCGTCACTCACCCAGTTCCCTTGTGATAGTCTCCTCTTATCTGGCGACTGTATAGTAAATGAAAGCATGTTGACAGGTATTTGAACGGCACTTTCAAATTGAGATTGCAATACTTACACTCCGTTCTCCAGGAGAGTCAGTTCCGGTGTCTAAAACTCCTGCTACCAATGAATCGCTTCATAACCTGGATCCTGGATCCTCTTCCATACCGTCTGACATTGCAAAGCACTTTCTGTTCTCCGGCACAAAGATCATAAGAGCTCGGCGCCCGCAAAATGATAAAGACGACGAGGGTGTCGCACTTGGCTTGGTAGTGCGAGCTGGGTTTAACACAACAAAAGGCGCCCTCGTTCGTTCCATGCTTTTCCCAAAGCCGTCTGGTTTCAAGTTCTACAGAGACTCATTCCGGTACATATCTGTCATGGCTGGAGTAGCACTGCTGGGATTTATTGCTTCATTTATCAACTTCATTCGCTTGAAAGTAGGTGCACTGTTTTCTCGTTTGCTCAATTCATGTTGTCGCATTTTCTTTCGCTTTCTTCGCAAATTAACCTCATTTTTAACTCTTCCTCCCTGGCCTCCTCTTTCTTTAGAAAACCTCACCTCCTCCTCCCGCGGCAAAGGCCTGGTCTCGTTCTTACTTTCTCTTCCCCACTATTTCAATTTTTATTTCAATCTCATTCTGTCTTCTGCTTTTTTTCCTTTTCGATATTCTCTTTCCCCTTTTCTGTGATATTCGTGGAGTGTCATTTACCTGACCAGAGTAAACTAGCTCGCCTGGCATCTTGTCATCGTCCGAGCCCTTGATTTGATCACTATAGTTGTACCCCCAGCGCTTCCAGCTACGCTCACTATAGGAACCAATTTTGCATTGTCTCGATTAAGGAAGAAAGGCATATTTTGTATAAGCCCACAGAGGTTGGTACTATTTCATTTCCGCTTCATGTCATTAGTTTTAGACTTAGCTGACATTACACAACAAATTAGAGTAAATGTTGGGGGAAAGCTTGATATCGTTTGTTTCGATAAGACAGGAACACTTACAGAAGATGGGCTTGATGTCTTGGGTGTCCGCGTAGTGCAGCGTCCCACAAAAAGGTTTGTCTCTCGGTACCAGCTTCTGTACTGTCATGTTAATACTGTCCAGGTTTAGTGACCTTCTCTCGAGCCCGTCTGTTATTCTGCCTGGTTCTTTTCGTGAACATGATCCAACACTCGATTACGACTTTCAAAAAATCATTTTGTACACAATGGCTACATGTCATTCTCTTCGATCAGTTGATAAAGAACTTGTTGGCGACCCGCTAGATATCAAAATGTTTGGGTTCACGGGTTGGTCTTTCTCAGAAGGTGACCAGAAATCGGCTGTAATGGAAGAGGATGGTCAAAACCGGCTTTCGCCTTCAGTTGCCCGACCACCGGATGGATTCGAGCCAGATCAGATGACCAGCGTAGGTGTTCCCATTCTCGAGACTTAGGACAGCAATAACACGTAATGCAGGGCCAATCGCTGGAGCTGGGCATTTTAAAATCATTCGAATTCGTTTCCCAGCTTCGAAGAGCCAGCGTTGTCGTCAGACGGTTCGGAGCGACTGGGGGCGATATATACGTCAAAGGTGCTCCAGAGTGCATGAAGGACATCTGCCGTGCTGAATCTTGTAAGTTCTGCCTTTTTTGTACATTCTTTGGACAAGATCGCTGAATTTTACCCGCAGTTCCTATCGACTATGAGAATCTTTTAAATTATTACACACATCGGGGCTTTCGCGTTATTGCGTGCGCTACGAAGCACATTCCGAAGCTTAACTGGGTCAAAGTGCAGAAAATGAACCGTTCAGAAGCTGAATCATCTCTAACCTTCGTCGGGTTCATTATATTTGAAAACAAACTCAAGTCAAATACCACGGAAATTCTTAAAGAACTTGGCAGTGCAGGTATTCGCCGGGTTATGTGTACTGGCGATAATATCTTAACGGCAATCAGTGTTGCTAGAGAGTGTAGCCTCATTGACGAAACTGCTCATTGCTTTGTCCCACGGTTTCTCGAAGGTAAATGGATTTATTGTACTTTTACATGAAGGATGAAACTCACAAACTAAAAGGTGACTGCACTTCACCAAACGCGAGACTCGTCTGGGAAAGCGTGGATAATCCTAACTACCGCTTAGACGAGTACACTTTGAAGGTAAGGTTGGCAGCATCTTGACTAAACCTAATAATATGCTGACAAAATTTATAGCCTCAATCACCACCACCCCAAAGTGACGCTTCTCTTCCGTATGACATCGTGAACCTCCGTAACTATAGCGTGGGAGTGAGCGGCGATGTGTTTCGCTGGATAATTGACTACGCACCTGAAGAGATTGTCAAAAGGGTAATTATCTCGTCATTAGTTCAGGTCGCACAGAAACTAATCCTTGTGATCTTAGATGCTTGTTTGCGGGGAAGTGTTCGCTCGCATGTCACCAGACGAAAAACACGAGCTGGTTGAAAGACTTCAGAGTTTAGAATACAGCTGTGGGTTTTGCGGCGATGGCGCAAATGACTGCGGTGCTTTGACTGCGGCAGACGTTGGCATCTCGTTGTCTGAAGCCGAGGCATCAGTTGCTGCACCATTCACCAGTAGAGTCTTTGATATATCCTGCGTTCCAGAGGTAATCAGGTAAGATCGAGAGTCGTCAATTTATTCTATCAATTATATCGTTAAAGCTAAATGGAATCAGGGAAGGCCGAGCGGCTTTGGTTACGAGCTTCAGTTGTTTCAAGTACATGAGCATATATTCAGCGATACAGTTTACATCTGTGAGCTTTCTCTACGCGTCGGCGTCCAATCTAGGAGATTTCCAGGTAAGTTTGACAAGCTGAATGTGACGTGTAAATTTGACTTAACCGAATTAGTTTCTGTTCATTGACTTACTGCTCATTTTACCCATTGCAATATTCAGTAAGTGGTCTCTAAATGGACAGAGGAAGACATCTGACGATTTTACAGTGGGCTGGACTGGGGCATATCCTACCCTTTGCCGCAAGAGACCAACAGCAAGTCTTGTGTCACGCAAAGTTTTAACTCCTTTGCTCGGCCAGATATCATTGTGCGTTCTCATTCAATTTATTGGATTTGAATATGTGCGGAAACAACCATGGTTTGTCAGCTCTCAAATCTGGCGTGATGGCATGGATTAACTTATCATGACTACTAGGTTTGTGCCGCCGCAGATTGACCATGAAAAATCAAATGTACGAAACTCAGAAAACACAACACTATTCCTTACTTCCTGCTATCAATACACATTATCAGCGATAGTTCTGAGTGTGGGCCCGCCTTTTCGACAATCCATGGCTTCCAACGGTAAGCTCCCACTACAAAGCGTTGTGTCATTATCTAACTTATATGACTAAAGTACCGTTGGTTATCACCTTGGTTATTGCGACCTTGCTCTCCACTTACATGCTTTTTGATCCTGCTAAGTGGCTCTTCGATTTTATGGATCTCACTGTGCTGTCGATGCCCTTCAAAGCATTTGTGCTAGCACTCGCCCTGTCTGGTTTTGCCTGTTCCTGGCTAGCGGAGAGGTGGGTGTTCCCGCATTTAGCGAGCGCGATCGGCAAGGCGAAGACGGCTCTCCTCCCTTTGCCGCCCAAAAAGCGAAAGGAGTACAAAATATTGAAGGACGAAATGTGCCAGTCGTGAGTTGCTATCAATCGAGCGTGTTGGTTTTGGATTGAAAGGAGAAACAGGGTTAGGCCAGCTGGCGGTTGTATATAAGTGTATAACGTAACCATTAATTTATCTTTGGCAACAAATAGTAAGGATCTATGCAGCCAGCGAGTGTAGGATATTTTTCATGACGTCAACATATTGGAGATCGATCTCAATTCACGATGCAAATGGGGAGGAGCTGCAAAATTGACGATGCCCGATGGCTCCAAAATACAACACTTTGACTTGTGACAGATTACAGAAGAGAGGGCTACTTCAGGCTCACCTAAATCATACAGACGCAACTGCCTGCATTCGGTCCCATATGATCCTTCATTTGTCAAGAAACTACATGGATACAGGTACGGGATCATCGTGAACTGGATAATCGATATTGTATTAACGATGCAGACTGGCTCATTGACGGCGGTTTTCTGCCGGAGTTTGTCATACGGCTAGGAATTCGGCGCCAATTGAGAGACCGTATCGAATGCCTTAAGAGTGCCTCCACAGCGGAACAATATGCGCGAAAGATGGATTACATTGACCAAAGTCGCAATAATCAAATTGCAATTCATACTCATAAAGCCAATACACAACATTACGAAGTCGACGCAGGCGTGCTTGCTGCATGTCTCGGGCCACGGATGAAATACTCATGTTGCCTGTACCCTACAGGAGCTGAGAGTTTAGGTGAAGCAGAGTCGGCTATGCTCGACAGCTATATACACAAGGCTGATTTAAGGAACGGTCAAAAAATCTTGGATTTAGGGTAAGTACCAGCATGGGTGAAAACAATACAACAGTTGTCTGATAGAGTGGAAATAGCTGTGGCTGGGGATCTGCTGCACTTTATTTTGCGCACAAGTTTCCGAACGCCCACGTCGTCGCTTTATCAAATTCGAAATCTCAAAAAGAATTTATTGAACAGAAGGCTTTGAACGCTGGATTGACCAATCTCAAAGTTTTGACAGCTGATGTGGCAATTTATGAATTGGAAAGGAATTACTTTGATCGAATTATATCAATTGAGCTCTTCGAGCACATGAAGAATTACGAGAGCTTGCTTCAAAAGCTCTCTGGTGCATTGACGGTTGGGGGAAAGCTTTTTGTGCACCTTTTCTGTCACAAGAATACACCCTACGACTTCGAAGATGGCTGGATGAGTCAAAACTTCTTCACTGGTGGGACAATGCCATCTGCAGACTTGCTTCTCTACTTTCAGAAGGATCTTACCCTTCGACATCAGTGGTGGATTTCGGGCACGCATTACGCCAGGACATGCGAGGTAAGCAGGGGATAGTTCTTCACTTTGATTTTTTTTTTTTTTATATTTCATTCCGAATAATCTCTTTTATTTTCCTTTCAATCCTCACCCTTTTTCTTGGAAGTAGGGCTAAAAGAAAATAGGATTGGCTTTCAAAATTGTGCCGCAATCGAGTTGATGTATGGCCGCACTTAGTTTCAACTTACGGCTCTGAGAACGCCCTCGTCTGGTATCGAAGGTGGCAAGTCTTTTATATGGCCTGCGCGGAATTATTTGCTTTTGATGGAGGTGAAACTTGGGGAGTATCGCATTATTTATTTGAAAAGACAAAGTAACGCCCTGGTTACAAAAGAAATTGCCGGCGGGCATGGCTCCACGCCCATGCTTTCTAAGCGTTGCTACAGTAGTTATATAGGAAATCCTTGGCTCACTCGAGCGGACTATCGCACAGAGAATCCGTGAATATAAAAAGAATGAAAGCTATAAATAACTCTTCAATTGTTCACGAGGTCATAGAACGGTCGAATGCGGATTCAGCAACCAGCTCTTCTCGAGTCCTCTCGTGACAAAAGTGCCATTGTATCAATGATCCCAAGGATGCTTCAGACCCAGAAGAGCTGGACCATCTCTTTTAGCCCGGTACATCAACTTACAATGAATTAGCAGCGTCAATTAACATTGGGTCAATCTCACTCACAAAGAACCACATACTGGCGCCAAGAAGTGTTGCGGAGTAGCGATAGAGCGGCCGAACCGGATGAATATGAACGGGATGATGGCCAGACATTATGCTGCAAAGGCATGAATGTAAGTAAATATTGAAAATATCTGATGGAGGATCCCCTTACCTTTGAGGGTCTTGGTGAGCGAAAGATGATGACAACCACACTCGGGTTGAATGCTGTAAATGAAGCTAGTTTGTGCGGAGAACAAATTACCCCAATGTCGACCAGCTCGCGTTGTCGCTAGTCTCCGGAGAAGTTCCACCTTAAGTTTGCCTGGGCTTTCGGCATGGGGCGAGCGGGTGGTCCTTGGGTTCCCGCTTGCAGGGTTGAAACGAGCACTTTACAGTACAGTTCAGTACAGAATGATGGACCTCTTGCATTACCAAGGACAACTCTCTATCGGAGTAGGGAGGCACGATACCTACCTACCCAAGCTCTGCGCTAGGGCCTTCTAAATATTCCATTGCTCACTCGTGTCTGTACATCAGAACTGAACCCCATCAAACTCCATTATCTTCATAAACGAACATTCACGTCAACGCGCAAATTCATGATTATAGGGCAAAATTTACGGCGCTTTTACACCGTCCAGCGACTCAAAACCGAGCCAGCGCGTTTATTCACCTGTCGGGCTGGCACTCAGTTCTATCGCATGGCTTGCTTGAGAAACACTCTCAGATAGCTTACTTCCATAATCTCTGGTAGAGGTCTCACCTCTCGGTTTACTTGGGAGGCTGCGATGGAACCGTGCCTAACCATGCCATATGAAATCTCGTCACAAGCTTGGAGCGAACGGTCGACGCCTCCGATGCAAAACATCAACAAAATGAGGGCACAACGAAAGCCTTTGGAGTTTAACTCTGATGGCCATTCAAGGTTTCAAGGATGCTCTAGTATTCGTGACTACGAGATACTGGGGAAGCTTGGAGAAGGCACATTTGGGTAAGCGCACATTTGCATTCAATCATCTCAGCATTGCCCGCAAAGAGACGGATGCTAATTCAATTTTTGATTCGAAAAGTGAGGTTCACAAGGCTCGCTCAAGAAAAGATGGCTATGTCGTCGCTTTGAAAAAAATATTAATGCATAATGAAAAAGATGGAGTAAGTGTCAATTTGTCCAACTCCACGATTACAAGTTACTCATTTTCGATCGTCATGGAAAGTTCCCCATAACAGCACTTCGCGAAATAAAGCTATTAAAGATGCTTTCTCATATCAATATTCTTAAACTTTCCGAAATGGCCATTGAGAGAAGCAAAGGTGGGTCACCATCGCTTGTTTTTGGCATTACCCCTAAGCTTATAATGAATTAATAGGTGAAGGAAAAAAGAAGGCTGTTATGTATATGGTCACTCCATATATGGACCATGACCTTTCCGGTCTCCTTGAAAACCCACATGTCCAATTTACAGAGCCACAAATCAAATGCTACATGTTGCAACTTCTAGAAGGAGTACGATATCTTCATGAGGTTTGTTTCGTATCCCCCATCGGACTTAGCATTGGAAACCTAACCTGGGACTTCGCTTGCCATAGAACAAGATATTACATCGAGACATGAAAGGTCAGACCTTATATCTCCATGTTCTAGAATCCACTAATAGTTTCTCTTGGGTATAGCGGCAAATTTGCTCATCAATAACCAAGGAATCTTGCAGATAGCAGATTTCGGATTGGCAAGGCATTACGATGAACAACCACCGAAACCAGGGAAGGGTGGAGGAGAAGCCCGTCGAGATTACACTACACTTGTTGTCACTCGATGGTACCGACCGCCCGAGCTGCTTTTACAATTACGAAGATATACCACCGCAATTGACATGTGGGGCGTGGGGTAAGTCTAGTAGGCTAGCCAACCTTTCCATTTCAATGTTAATTCCCCCATCAGCTGCGTTTTTGGCGAAATGTTCAAAGGAAAGCCAATATTAGCCGGCAACAGCGATCTTCACCAAATTCAGATCATCTTCGATCTCGTCGGATCACCCACCGAGCAAAATATGCCCGGGTGGAGCACTCTTCCGGGCTGTGAAAACGTGAAAAGCTTCAAGCCTCGGACGGGCACGCTTGCTCAAACATTTCGAGAGTAAGTCATCCCAGATTGACCAAGAACTTTATCGTGTTGCTATTTAAATCTGACATTCTCTCCAAAAGGCAGGGCTCGTCAGCGATTTCCCTCCTCGGAGAACTCCTGAAACTGGACTGGAGAAAGCGTATTAATGCAATTGATGCGCTTCAACACCCATATTTCCGCACCGATCCGCTTCCAGCAAAGCCCGGCCAGCTTCCTCAATTTGAGGATTCGCATGAATTAGATCGGAGAAAGTTCAGGGGTCAAAAGGCAGCATTGCCACCTGCTCCGGCCGGAGGAACTGTTGGGACTGGTCCAAACGGAGAATGGATTGGTCCCTCAAGTCGTTCTACTGGCCCTTGGCAAAGTAATAGCTTTCGTCCTGGCGGTTCGGGGCCGTGGCATGGGCACGCCAGTGCTACAGGCTCCTATCCTGCGAATCAAGGTACGTCTGAAAGTCGTATACCGCATATTGGCCGCGGTCACGTCCCCAACCAAGCAAATCATCGCCCCGCTTGGGCACGAAACGGTGAAAACGCCAGGCAATCTTCTACATTTCATAACAGGGAATCCGACCTCGGGAGTCACTATGGAAGGCATGCACAGCACTCCAGAACGGATCCCTCAATTTCGAGCGCAGGCAGGGGTGATAGTTATGTCCCGAATTATTCGGACGATAATGATGGGTCTCGCTTAAGGCTTGAAGGCACTCGAAGAGAGGAAAGGTACGACAGAGCTCATTATTCATATGATCGCCGGGAGAAGTTGAGCCGACCTGCAGGAAGGACGAGAAGCAAAAGTCCTGGGGTTGAAAGAAGTAGGGACCGCGTTCGTGAGCGAGAACGGGATCTTTATCGGCGGTAGATCAGGTTACGACAGGCAATCAAACAGATGGCAGTCGCATGAGATCATAGAATCTGCGGGTATCCTGGAATACTTTCTCCCTGCTACCCTTCCGTTCGGCGTTTCTCCCGATCCTAATTCTCGTATGTAGTCAGCCTTTTCTAAAGAAAGCTCTGTAAGTCTTGTTCTCACGCTGTTGTAATTGCCCGGGGAAAATAAACCAAAAAAAACTTGTTCAAATGCCTGGCCAAATACTTATATATGTGCTGTGAAGACCGGCTCAGGATCTCTCGGCGCGACTATCTACTTAAGCCATCACTAGCTGGAAATTTGTGATCAAAGAACTAATCGACCCATGGCCTAGGATCTGTCTCTTATCTTGTGAGGTCCTCGTTGGTGGATGAGGGGGCGTGCGGATTTGGACGAAATCGTCAGATCTGCCCAAGCAGACGAGGATCTAATGTTTTAAAAAAGTCGATGTTTTAAATTTCAGCTAGCCAGTACACTGGTCAATGCAACGACAAGGATCATTCCCCAGTTTTCACCCTTTACAAAGAGTGCATAATACGATCTGGCAAACGCGTAATTACATCAAAATATTCTTGCTGCTTCTATGAAGCGACGTAGCCGACTCCTTTCTCATCATGAGTTCAATCATGCGTAGCGCCATTCGAAGGGATATAGATTTTTAGAAATCGACTCGGGATTGCAAATATATGAGAAGATAATTGTTGGGCCGCTCTGGGTATTTGACACTGTAGTTAGGTAAAGAGACAACGGTATCATGTTTTCTGATCGGTCCCATACATTCGCAAATTGATATCTGCCGAACGCCATGGATACCCAAAGAGCTGTTCTATTGATGAATGAAGGTATCTCCCCGATTTGCTGTGCGAAAAAAATTACCGCACGTCAATTCCAAATTGGTTGGAATACTCAGTTACTATTTTCTTTGCGAGCAGTATTTGATTCAGGGGAGTAATACTTTACATTACCCTTTTCTTCGAATGGAACACATTCAAGAGAAAGGCGTTTCCGTCTCTCGAGACTTAGGCATAATTCCTAGGAAGGAATTCTTTTCACCTACTCTATATGTGGGTTTGTCGCGGTTGATTCCCGCCGCCATCATACAATCGTTTGGGTGCGAAGTTGCAATCTCCAAGATGATTGGCTAGGTCAAATGGAGGGGCGCTGACGCGAACTTGACGCGTTATTTACAGATTGCCCCCCTCCCAATAAATTGCAGTACGCTATGTGACAACGTACGAGTGTGTACCACGCGTCGAATTGGTAGGTACCGGTATTTTCGCTCTTGTTAAATGCATCAATAGAGATATGCTCCGCGGTCCTATCGCTGCTTTGCCTTTGGTCAATACTACTTTCCCAAGGGGTTTACGGCGACCTCACAACTCCAGACATTTCTTACTGGTCCTGTGTAACTACTTAGGTATTCATCACCACTAGCAGGCCTTGACTTTTCCTCAGGAGAGAGTGATTTCCCTAAGTCCTTGGAGCAAGGTATCACATAGAAAATTTTTTCAAGCATGATTTCTCTATATAGATGCTATTTTTTTTAACTCTTGATGCCTTTGTCAGCCATAGAGTCATGCTGTACCTTCCCGAGGTGCTCAAAGTTTAAACTACCGCGGTGCATATGCATAAGCTCTTTCCCTGGAAGTTTCCCCACCACAAGGTCGCCACCAATATAGAGCCGTCCTGTTCCACTCGGTAAGTACATACAGGCAGGCAGGTCACCCCAACTCCACCTCCGAGTTCCCATCAACTTACGAAATTCGATCAAGGTTGACCAACCTCTAGATCACCCTCGCTTCAGTTGCTCATCGACGACTGTCTACTTTACAGTGCATTGCTTGTTGCACTATCTTGAAGTTCAGAAAGATCGATTGGCGCCTTGCGGCACCGACCGTGATTCAGCGGGCTTACGCGCTTTATTGATTGGGCTCCTGCTTCCTTTCACGTAGATCGCCCTCCCCCGACGATTTTGACAACCCTGTCGCGCCTTTTGCAGTTACGTTGAATCCTCTAGCTGTCTGTGATTGAGTCGGGTACGTCAAATCCATTTTTTCCTCTCATTGCTATCCAGCCTAGAAGCTGACTATCGGTGTAGAAATCGTTTAGGCGCCAAGAGCGCGAACATTGAGGAGATAGATGCGACAGTGGGCATTCAACATTTGGTAGTGGCTGCGTACTTATCCCAGTGTGATCACAATAAGCCATCACGACGTTATCACTTGATCACACCATCTACGCGTCCTGAGTCCGACGTCTAATGTAAAGATATCCTCGAAACTCTCCCTGTCCATTCACGATGTCCTCGACGCGTCGCGGACATAGTGCCAATGTCTTTCAAAATGAAATCTACCCAACCGATCTCATGCATCAATGGATGCCTCGGCCTTATTCCTCTCGTGGATATTCATCTTTGGGCCTTCAAATGACGCCTTCGATATATAGTCAGCCTGCGCAGTTTAACGCTCTGATGGGTGGCCTCGTGTTTGAGCCTCCGCAACGACCTCGCGTGCCCTCACCTAGGAAAGGCCGTGGTACATCATACGTGCCGTCAAGGACAATCTTTCATCCTGGATTAAATCGAGTGTCAATTCCGCGTCCACATCCCGCGCATTTCGTTACTGATTCACCGCCCAAACGCTCCGTTTTTCGCAATATTGAAGCCCCTTCGGTCCCGCGACCGCAACAGGGTCTTTTTACTACCTTTCCTTCTACCAAAACGGCCATGCATGAGAGCAAATCTGTGAGCGGTCTTCAAAGCGATCGATTTGCAGAGTTCCCGGATCTCGGACACAGCTACCCACGGCAACCTAAGACACCTTTGATTGACGCCGCTTTGCTTAGAGAGCAAGGATTCAGAAAAACTTCGAGGAGTCACCAGCCAATTATCGAGGTTCCGGAACCAGAAAAAATGCCCGCAGTTGAAGATGATGGCTTGAAACCGCCCTATAGTTACGCTACACTAATTGGAATGTCCATCTTAAGAGCACCAAATCGTCGATTGACATTGGCTCAAATTTATAAATGGATCTCCGACACATTTTCCTACTATCGAGTATCTGATTCGGGATGGCAAAATAGCATTCGGCACAATCTCAGCCTGAACAAAGCCTTCGTGAAGCAAGAACGGCCAAAGGACGACCCAGGCAAAGGGAATTACTGGGCAATCGAACCGGGAATGGAGGCCCAATTCCTCAAAGACAGGCCGCTCAGGCGTCGCACTTCTGTTGGCAATGGCTCTTCCTCCTCTCTTGGAAAATCAATCAGGGAAGGTCAAAGGAGCAAAGTTGATGAACCCAACCTGGACGTCACTCAGGAGCGTGCCCCTGGCTCCAGGGCAGTCTTTAACGATATCGAACCGTCGTCTGATGCGACCATTCCAGCTTCAGATCCAGCAGCTCAGGAAGATGAGGCTTTTGAGTTTCTCCATCATCGCCTCCCTTGCTCGCGCGCTCAGCCTTCTTCACCCCGGGCTCTGGATTCCTCTCCGCCAGTACCAAATCAAGCAGAGGTTCATCGCGCAACGCCCCCGTCGACTTCGCAAATAGTTCCATCGTCTTCGCGACAGCCACGAAAGCACAATGTCGTGGCCATGAACGATAGCGGTTACTTTTCGTCCCTTGACTCGTCCGTCATGCGTTCGAACATGCCCTCCACGGTAGCCGGTCCGGAAGCTGAGGTCGATCGAGCTTCACTCAAAACGGGCCGGGCGGAAGAAGAAATTGCTCGCATTGCGCGAAGTCGTAATCCCAATCACGGCAGTCCAACTAAGCACAGAACTATTTTCAAGCAACCTTCTCCAAGGCTTGGCTCATCCTCTCCTTTAAGATGCCTTGATAGCACTCTCATGCTACCGCCATTGACGCCAGCGAGCACGTTCAAGGTGTCACCAAAGCGGCCTCTGTCAGCCTCGCCAAATACTAATCTGAGAAATCACCGCAATCGAATGCGGGAGCTCGTTCCATCCCCCGATCGTGGCATGGCGGTTCTTCCTGACGAACTACCTTGGGGGCAGGATCTTTTCGATAGAGATGAGGTATACATTTTCGATGAAAATTTCAATTTATTCCCAGACGGACCATTACCACAATGCCCATCTATCGCAGGTTCTCCCGGAAAATCTGACTCTCCTTCCAAGCGGCTCTCGCCGTTCAAAAATTCTTCTCCTAGCAAGCGCTTCACGCCAGCTAAACGCGCACATTCGCAATTGTCGCCGGAAAAGCGCACGGTGAAGAAGCCTCGTCATGCACACGCGTTGAATGGGGATAGCGTTCTCTCCGATGTAACTGGCGCTGCTTTAAACCTACCAGAGTCAAATACCAAGGGCAACTCATTGGTTAAGCCAGGACCGCTAAAGGCATTCGGCCAGTCTTCTATTTGCACCGGAATCATAGATATCCCCAGAGCAGGATATCCCGATTTTGACGACGACTTGGAGGGTCAGGATGATATTGGCGAAGTTGACCTTCTCCAAGGTTTCCAAAAAATTGGCGGTTCATAAGCCTCTGATGAGGGCAAGCCCTTACAATACTGATACGAATCTTCTCGATGGGGTTCTTCCCGCTTTGTCTCGGGAATTTCGCGGAGGATACGTCTTCCAAAACAGCTATTTGGGGCGTGGATAGTCCAATGATGCGTTTGTTAGATGATTGAATGACTATACGAAACTACGATCGGCTGGGCGTTCAGGCTCGTTCATTGATGGTTGGCGCGAAGGACTCGGTTGATTGTGGCGAATGATGATTAGCTTTGCGGGCGTTATGGTATGTTCAAAGATGGACTGGTTCGCTCTTTATTACTTTCCTTTCCCGCCTCGATTGTCGGGGATGATGCCTGCCATATTTCTCTTCAGCAACTGTTTCAATTGACCGTTATTTGTTATTGGATGCAATGGATTATTCGGATCAAGGTTATTGGATGATCATTATGTCTGGACTCAGCACCATTGGCAAATATGCCTTTGGACGAATATTGCATTAGCACATGGGTCATTATTCTGCTTTTGTTTTTTTCTTGTTTTTTTCGTCTCTACTATAGTCCCTGAAATCGGATTTTAATCTAAATATTCATTACAATCTCCATTGGCCGAGCCAATGTGCGACGATGTTGAGTGTTTATGCAGAGTTGAGAATAAAAATCGCCATATTCCCATATCCTGCCGTTCATGCTCAAAGCCACCCGGTGATTCAAATGATGCGTGGCTTGCCTCCGCAACTTCGTAACCAGAATTCATAGCTATGATTAAGAGATTTGAGATACTCCTTATTAGACAAGGAGTCCTGCTCAGGAAGCCCCGTATGATTGTGCCTTGTGATACCGTGGCAGGGTGCTGTTGCAGCGAATAGACAAAGAAAGCGCTCTGGTAATTTAGTTGCATGATACCATCGGCTCGGGCTGAGGCAGGCGAACGAGATATCCCACAGAGAAAACGAGCCGCCATGACACCTTCGGCCTAGAAAAGGATACTGTTTCCACCAGGTCCATCCGTACTTTACAAATGAAGAAAATTGAGCAGAGCGAGGCCTGTTGCACCTCCAGATCGATGCCATCATATCAGTCACTGGAAGCACAGCCCCTGCATCCGCAATTTACACACTGCACAGTCTGGCCTTCGGTCAATCGAGCTTTAGGGACGCGGCAGATACAGGTTGCGTTGAAATTCGTCTCCTTTGTCTGGATGCATGGCAGGCAACATAACTTTTTGCACAAAATTTCAGCAATTCGGTATTAAAATAATTGAGGACATCAAGTATTTGGATGCTGTGAGGACACAAACCTTCTCATAGCCAGTTTTCTTCCACTTTGCAATCAACATCGCATCTGCGTAGCCATTCTTAAGTAGATAATCATAGAGTTGCTTGGAAATAGAGTCTTTGGTGTACAAGTCCCAGATATATCGCGTGCCTGTATATAAGATCGAAAGCAGTTTCTGTCAGCATCTTCTTTGTAATAGAGATGGGGTTTAAGAAACTGAAAGACTGCTCTGCAGTGGTGGTAAAATTTGATTCCAGTAGAAACTTCTCTGTGGTTGGTAGGGCGGCTTACGTTGATGCCGGATTTGAAATATTGGCCATAGCATTTCATGTCTCTTCTTTCCATCGTGTGGGGCGTTTTCGGCGTCTTTCATCTTGTTGCTGAACTCAAGTAGCGTATCTTCAATATCTTCGAAACCTTCCGGTGGCGGCTTTCGATTACGGGCTGATCGAATAGGAGGCATGATTTGAACGTCACAGCTGAGACAGTTGCGTTGACAGGCTTTTATCGATTCGATGTTTAAACTTAATGTACGTGTTTAGCTTAATAGATCGATGGACCGGCTAAGATTTGAGAGAGAATTGCTCTGTATCATTGTATGCGATTTCGAGCGCTTCTAGTAACATTCAGCGAGCTAGGATCGCCAGAGAAAATATGCGCTAAACTTCTTCAGGCGATACTTATCTTGGGCTATCGGGATGAATATGTTGCTTAAGGGTCCTATGATTTGGAAGACCAACGCCTTCCTCCAAGGATATTGATTTATTCAACTTTACACGCCGCTATTTCTTCACTTTGGATATATTTCTTTCCTTTCCAAACTTCAAGGGGTCTGGTTCATTAATTCTTTGGTTGTGCTTGGATTTTGGCATCCGCTCGCATTCCCACTTACCACACGTTTTCTCTTCTCCGCTCTACTCGTAACCATCATGCTCTTCCTATAGATAATGTCGATCAATTAAGCTTGAAACGTAGGCGTAGTCTCCTTACTCCGATATATCTAGTACAGCTTCCATAGAAGCGCGTTATCATTGTGCTAGCATAATGGTCTGGGGATGTCTTTTCGGTAGGTACCTGCACTGTACAGGAATTCCAAGCATAATGTATGTACCTAACCTACCTACCTTATACCATACGCGCCTTTCCCCAGACCCCATGCCCGCCTTCCCGCAATGTCAAGCGAGGCATTGTTGGCCCGCCACCTTGAATCGTATCGGCAACATTCACCAACCAATCTCCAACTCCACTATACATTGCACCGCGGACAATATGGTCATTAATCCAACTTACCTCGCGCAGCGGACTAGAACATGTAAGCGCTGTTGATAACATCACTTCTTTACACGCATCTAAATCCATAAAGCCGCTAGCTGGAACGATGCGAAGAGACGAGTCCTCAAATCTTACCGGGAATGGCTTCGAGCTGTAAGTCAAATCTTGGTCACCAGAGAGCATACGGGAAGCTAATATATTCTTGGTGCTGCCAGGGTCCAGAAATTCAGCAAATGTATTCGCTCAACATACCGGTCTCAGCTATTCGTACCAAAATCCGACAGGAGTTTGAACGACATCGATATGTGAGCCAGTTACAGGTTGTTGATATGCTCCTGTTTCAATCGCATGCAGAATTTCAGGTATGAATTCAACTATGGGAGGGAGGCCGCCAAGCCACGTGATCGAGAAGTCGAGCTATACGTAAATATAGGCAAATCCTGCAAACTCGTTCATTTGAGCCTTGGATTTCTACGGTCCCTAGTGCTAATGGTAGGACGCATGTTCTCTAGGAAACCTTGAATTATTGGAAGCAATTGTCCCATGTCCTGAAATATTTTCGGGCTGAAGAGGATCCCACGGCTCGACTCCCTCGAAACTTCATGCAGGGCTTTTTGGAGGTATTTGACCATTCAAGTGCACTGTGCCTAGACGCCGACTAAAGTTCGAAATATAGGGACGAAATTAGACTCATCCGAATCGACATCGATTAGATAGCACTACTCTTTTTACCGAACCGTATAACGCCGCCCGATAAGTTGTAAGAATTCATTTAATGAGGCGGCTTGATTGCGCTCTTGGCGGCAGCAAACTTGTCAACTACCACATCACATAGGTCCATTAAATCATCTAATCCTTTTTCTAAGGCATCGAATGCTGTCGTGTTCTCTGTTTGAAGTGTTAGCCTAAACGTGCCGCAGATTATCCGATTGCCGTTGACTGTGGCCTGCCTGAAGACATACCGTAAGTCTGTATCCGTATATTCATCTTCGCTTCAGATGGATGGGGTATCGAGTAACCGCAAAATTCAACATCTGGGCTGTGTTGCCCTTTGCGTTAGCCATCAAAATGTAGCGCTGGTGGGCATGGAACGCACTTCTTCATTATAATATACCGAAGCGCATTTCCAAGTGTATGATCTTCTCCTTCAAACTCAAATGAAGCAGCCGTTTCCGTGGATCCTGGAAGCTTTTCATGGGTTCTTTATTAGATCCTTTGCTCAATATTACCCGGGCATCGACAGTCCGTTCGGGAGAAACGTACCACGCGGATTCGCTGGTCGGCCAAGTCGATATATGGCTCAGGAGCCGGAGGGTGCTCCATCGCCGCATCGGCCATGTGCTGATCCTCCGCAGTATTTGATCCCGACGGCATGGGTGCGGCTTGATTGATAAGGCGGGAATGATAAATTTATGCAAAATTCGCTGAAGTCAGGAAATTGTCTACTCGTTTGCGGTCGTTTACAACTTACCCGGCAATGGAATTTCTGGTTTTCGCATGTGTCAGCGGCCAAAGTGCGCTAACAGTGCGTCGAAGGCTCGGAGGCGACTAACTTTTTCCTAGCCGTATCCAGCCATCCCCAATCAAAATGCACAAGGGCACAGTATACCGTATTAATCAAGTTATCATAAAATTCCTATTATTTCCTTGGTGGTGCTAAACTCTGAAGAATATGAAATTTACGCTCTGCAGGTGCTTCTCAACTACCTAGTAGTTTACTTCTTAGCATTACTTCACTAGATTGGTGCACAAATAATCGCAAACACTCTTCCTTCTTAAAATTTCCCATTTTACCCTCGGATTTTTTTTGTAGCATGATCATTCCCGTGTCCCTTTTTTTTTTTTTTAAGAAAATAATTCAGCCTTCTAAAATCCACCCAAAGAGAAAAGCTAGGCCTGTCGTATGCCTTTAAAATTTCATAGGTTACCATAACGGGCATGACAAAGGAATAAAAAAACAGGAGCACTTTCAATATTCCAACCCCAGAACAAGAGAGTATTTTATACGTAGTATCATCCAAAGCAGAAACTCATGCGCTCTGGACTATTGTATGGCATAGGTTTTCAACATCCTCTGCGAATGTATGGTGCAACATAAGCTACAAATTGATGCGCCATTGGTCCTACAGAGTAAGATTCATAACATAGTCCAAGTAGGATCGACTCGACCAACACAACTGTATCAGAGGCGCTAATCCTCGAACTCATTCCTCTATACACCAATTGTTTCAGGATTCGCGAATAGGTGTGGACCCTAGAGCGAGCCGCTGACCCAACTTGAGCCCCCAGCGCTAACCCTGATACACGATTTGTCAAATCCCCGTCCTGCCGTTCTGGGGTTCTCAGTCTCGAAGGTTACGAGACACTGCTGCCTCAATAATAACTAGCGTTATCAGCCCACCAAGGAAATTTTCTTTTGGCATTTGCAGACCAGATGAACCAGTTGAGAAAATCCTCCAATGGCGGTGCCTTGAGTTGATAGCTGCTAGAACCAGGCATACATTACATTTGCTACCTCTGGGGATCCTCCATGGGTATCGATAACAATGTTAGAACCAACCTTCGGTCGGCGCAAAAGAAATTATCCTAAGGTAAGAAGCCTGCATAAGACGCAAACCCCCGCTCTCTAAGAAAAAAAAAAAAAAGAGAAGGTGCTGGCCCTCACCCAAACAAATCTCCCACAAGTTAGAGCGGGGAAGCGCTCGAATTCTCCCGAATTCTAACAATTGTCCTAATATGGGGCTGTCCATCGCGGGTGACGGGGGCTTGACACGGCCGGCGCAACATGGCTCATTGGCGCTAACGCGCTTGCTGCCTTGGGTCCAGTAGTGAACCAATCCGGTCGTCCTCCAGGCCGGATCGCGACCATCATGTCTACTCGTGGATTCAAGAGTCCTCATGAGTCGAGGCAGTTAAGGTTCAAGTACTTTTACATGAGCAGAGCTACCAAAGGCCGACAGCTCATGGTCCAGCTGGAGGCTTGGTGAAACCTGCTGTGCCCGGATCTACCGTAGTGTTCGAAGAGCATCGTACTGTACTGTATTTTTCCGCTGATAACTGTACAGTGCATACCTTGGGGTAGATAGGTACCTGATATGCCTAGGTACCTTAACTACACCTCGTACGGTATAGGTAAGACTGATTAAGTTACAGAAGGTATCCGGTAGCCCATCCCTCCTCAGGGCGCCCCTGGATCTTGCCAAAAAGGAGCAAAGTACAGATGGACTCTTCAGCGCTGACACTGGTTCACAGGCAATCAGGCAAAGGACGGTCTTCCGTAAAGGGTAAGAACTATCTGTGCCTCGCTCGTACCCGCAACTCGTAGCATGCTTCGACGTGACACAGTAGTATACAGCCCGACTCGCTGCTCTGCTGTTAAATCACCCGCAAGCCAATCCCCTTCTCCCTCAAGTAGTATACCCAGCGTCCGTGTCTCATCCACATCCCATCAGGAGACACCCCTCCCTCCCTTTTGCACCACCTACTCTGCATTTTATCCTGTCCTCTCAGCGTCTCGGATCTCTCGTTTCCCGTCGTTTACAACTCCTTTTCCCTTCATCCCCCTCGCTCCCTTTGATATTCGTTTTATTTTGGCACCGACATCATTTGCTCGCAGGCGGTAGTCAGGTAGCCCTCAAAGCCATCCGCCCGCCAGCACTCTCTCCCGATTTCCCCATTTTTTTTGACAAAATTGACAACCTAAACAGCAGTCGCTACCAACGAAGATCTCGAAGATTTCTGACTGCAATTTTTATTCGGTGCTCACACGTACAAAGACGCCGTCATTTTGCAACCGAAGAAGCAGGAAACTGTAGCGACGGCCTCTCACCAGGTGCCAAAAGTTGTTTCGCGTTCTGTTCGCAAATTAACACTCGGGCTGCCCAGAGGCTGCAGCTCATTTCTGATTTGCCGCCATTCGTCATGACCACTGCTGTCGCATATCCACCTCAGCTTGCAACGCTTGCCTCCATCTCCGTTGATAACGATATGAGCTCAAAGACAGACGCCAGCACGGCGTCCACCTCTACGTCAATCCCAACCAACTCCACGCCTGTCACATCCTCCACCGCTGCCGTTGAAACCTCTTCCCAGAAGAAAGCCCCCGAAGGCAAATTGTCGCCGACTTCGTGCGTTTCCCCCCCCATCCCCATTTAACCTTTGAATTCCGAGCTTTGACACTGATTTGCCTCTCACTCGATAGAGCGAAAAATGGTCCGCCACCTAAAATCGTTGTCAAGAAGGAACCTCCCTCTTCTCCGGATATTGCTCATTCAAGGCACCGGCCACGCAAGCTTGACCTTTCTACCAATATCCCCAGCGCGCAAAGCGCGATGTCTGCACGTCCCTCTGCTGGCCCACTAACCGCAAGGGACAGCGCTGGATTGGCGATGCAGGATGTTGGGCTTGCCTGTCTCTCCCCGGGGTTCCAAACGCACGATCCTACAATGCGCGAGCAACTTCAGCGAAGCATCTCCGTTCGCGACCAGCAAAGGCATATTATAGAATCGCGCCTCCAGCGAACCGCAAAGCCTAACGAAATGATAGATGGAAGCAAGGTTGGAGATTCTCAGGCCTTTGGTCCACCGATCAAGACGCCGACAACGCGGAGGAGAGCGCCGCCTGGTCTCTCCATCGTTCCCCCTTCACACGAGCAATTCGCAAATGAACGAGTCATCCAATCAGCACCGTTGAATCAAACCTTCACGGGAAGGCACCAGCCTCATCCTCTCACTCGTCATGTAGCTAATCAATCTTCGAATTTGTCCCATACATCACATATTCACCATGTTCCCGCAACGCAAACAAACAATCGCCTCCCTCCGATTAGCGATGTCTTCGCTGCAGAGGGCCTAGGAGGCCCTCGGGATTCTACAAGTCGAAACGGCTTTTACCTTCCAAACTCATCCTCCAACTCGTCGCACTCAAATGTCCGCCCTGCTTTCCCATCTCCTGGCCATCACGGATCCCAATCGCAGGCTCCCAGTTCGGACCGGCCCCGCGAATATCGTTCTGCTGAAGAGGCTGTGGCCTCACTCTCTGGCGGTCGAGAGGATCTACTGCCTCGAATCGTCCATTACGGAGGGCACCAACCTCCAACTCCTCCGTCTCCGGTCAATGGAGCTGGCGTCAGCGTCTTGAAGGCAGCACAAACCACGGCGGATGGCGAATCTAGTCGAACCGGCTCTGGGCGCAGGAGGATGCGCGCTGAGTATGAGAAGGACATGGGAAGTCCACCTCTGGGCACCGGGCCCGAGCCACGGCCTGGACCTTTTGGGGAAGAGAGGGATTCCCCTGACACCCAACGGAGGAAGAAGGAAGAATTTCTTTCATTATGTGCTCGAGCCTGGGATCTATTTCATTCTTAATATTTGCTCAATGTCTTGTCAGCATTACGTGTTCCGGAAATTTATTCTGTTTCAACGGCGTTATACAGATTCGCGCTTGATTTAATCATGGGAGCTGGCCCGCTCAAAAAGAGCTTCTTTAATGCTTGACTTTTTCGGGTTGGGATGAGATGGGATATTCATCAAAATGTATCTTTTGCTGGTCACCCATTACTGCTCTATTCGGAGCTCTGGGGAACATGCTCCTGTTCTCTAGGATTGCCGGCACCGCCAGGAGAGCCAGACTTTTCTTATTAGCCCCAGCTGGAGTACTTGAGAAATTGTCCGCATTTTTACATTTGCTTTGCATTTTCAAGCTTCTTGTGCCCGGGCCTTCGTCTTTACTTCGGATATTCCAGCCATATATCTCATGTTTTCACAACTTTATTCTCTTCCACAGCACTTTGATGGGGGATCCGTCAATAATGTAGCAGCAGCAGCAGCATGGGTTTCTACATGGCGCATTTGTTCAATGTCTTGGAATCAAACTGTCAGGGGCCAAGCCGGATTTACTTTGCCAAACCTTTTCTTTGGCTGAAGGGATGCTCTTTAATTGGAGGTTATCAATCGACTCTCATTCCGTGAAGATGGATCTTGCTATCTTTCCGCTAGATTTTAAAAGCGAATGAATGCATACTTGCGACACCGCCTGTACATTTCCAAGTCGGCTTTCCAAAAAAGTGCTCAATCGAATAGTAATTATGTGAACGCCAGGTAACGCCGATGCTATGCGAATAAGAGGACAGATGACGCAAGTCTAGTCAGAATATGCTCTTCGAGCAATCGGCATATTTTTTCTTTCCTTGGAAGCCTTCTTCTTCCTTTTCCGTTCGATAACGTGGTCGAGTTGCTTCCCTTTGAGTGAATTGTAACGTTCCATAAGCGCGCGCTTCTTTTGTTCACCTAAAGAACAGTCAGCAGCTGACAGGACCATGCATTTCGCGAAGTCGTCGAACCCTTCTTAAGGTAGAATGGTGTTTTCCCTTGCTTCACCAATTCCTTTTCTTTATTACGGTGCTCGCGGAGGATTTCCTGCTGTTTTTCCTTGGACTCATGCGCCTTTCTTCTCGATTCCTGCAGAAGCAGTTAAATTAGCGTGGCAGCATGACCAAACCAAGCCAATACAGAATATACCATTGATAGTAATGCACGTTTCAACTTTTCCTTGACGGCCTCGTCTTTCGTCTTTTTGATCTCATCTCTGAGGGATCGCATTTCACTGTCTTGGTAGTCGCGAAGAAAAGAGTAGTTCTTTTTCAATCTCGTCTCGTCAAGCGGCCCACTCAAGGCCTCAAACCTTGGATCTCTAGCCTCCCGCTTTTGGACAGCGACTACCTCGCGCTTGCGGGAAACAGCCTTTTTACTCGACATTTCAGCAGGAGCGTGCTTATTGGATCGTCCTGTCCGGCTCTCGGTCGACTTCTTTTCTCGAGAAGGCGAATCCTTTGGATGGGTTTCCCTAGCCTTTCTTTCTCCTATCTCATGCAGCGTCTCTCGTAATCTTTGAAGCTTTTCGGAGCTTGTAGAAGCCTTTTCTGTGTTGGCTTTGCTTTTACCTAAAGATTCCTGAGCTCGAGCCAGTGCGCCAAAGGAGACAGAGCTCAAATCGGTTTCGAATGCGCCATGTGCTGATTGATCATCATCTGAGGGCTATTGATATATAAGCGACATTGTATAAGGGAATGTGAACTCAATAACTTTACAATTGCATCATCGTTCAGGGAACTTTCCTCGTCCTCATATGCGGCATTGTCGCTGCTGTGCGAAGAAGATCCTTCAAAATCATGGACGGATTCATCTCCACTGGAATCTCGTCGCGCGCGCACTCGTCTCTGCAAATTGAGAGACGCCATGGCGGTTCAGAAAAAAGAGGGGCGGGAGCCAAGGAGGCGTGTTACCTTGAGATTTCTTTTAATGTCAAATGCGGTGCTGGTAGTCTCTCGTTCCTTTCGCTCTCTGCGACGGTGTTCGGGAAAAAGATAAAGCGTGGGGACACTAATGGCTCTAAATTCTTCTCAATTGGGTTAAACTTCAAAGACCCCTGGCGTATCTAGATCTACCTTGTGGTTGCGATTGGGCTTGAAGGCTGCACATTTTTGGATGCAGAAGTTCAATTGATATATTCTTTTGCCATTAGACCGCTTGTTTGCCAGTTCTATGCTTGGTCGTTTGCCCGCACTGTCGTTTCATAGAACCCTTACCCTTGCATCCTCGCCCTATCACTCCAAGCCAATCCCCACCAATTCAGCACATGCGGGATCCTCGTCCAAATTTACGAAGGTAATGTCTCTGATTGTAATTGATCGCGCCTACAAAGGATATGAAGGGAAAATTGGAGAGTCGTACTTACAGATAATGGTCAGATGGCAAAAAAGAAAAAGGGCACGAAGAGAGAAAGCGCGACTCTAAATGATGAGACTGGCGCGAACGCGAGTTCAGTTACTGGACAGAGACAAAGCACCCACAATCAACCTCCTGACGAACCACCAATGCCTTTCCCTTCAGTTCGATCCCTGGAAAAGGGTAGGAGAAATACTGGTCCCTCCACCGATTCTTCGTCGGCTTCGGCGATAGCTGGAAGCGCTTTTGGAAAGTCATCTCCGCTTCCCACAGGCCAATTGAGGCAATATCCAGACAGATCAGCCGAGCGCTGCCGTCCTTCGAGGGAAGAAAATGGGATAGGACGCCAGGATAACATTAAAACGAACCATCTGCCTGATATTTCCCAAGCATCTCCGCGGCCAGGGAGTCTAATGCTATCTGAAATAAGTCGGCGAGAGACAGCTGGAACTCGAAATCCTGATTATAAGAGTCACACAAATTCAATTGGGGATCGCTACGACGCTTTCCGGAACATGCGGTATGCGCTTTCTCTAAATCATTGTCACTCTACGTTGCTGATGAAAGTCTACACAGATACCGCCAAGTTGCAAATACTGAAATCTCCGATGCAAATAATAAAAATGGTAATTCGAACGACGGGCTCAGAAAGACATGGCCGCAAACACCAAAGGCAAATACTTCTCCGAAGGGCAATAATACTGGCGCGAATAGACCCGTATCCTTTGACAATCTAGTTTTGCGTACGCCATCCACTGGTCGAAAACAATGGAGGAGGACAAAAGAGATTGCCCTGCCTCCTCCCAGCCCAATTGCGCAGTACATTCAAAAGTCCGAGACTCCACCTCAGAAGCTTCAGCATCCCCAGCCGATATTAGTAATACTCGATTTGAACGGGACCCTAGTTCACCGACCTGATCGAAAACAGCCGCATAAGTTTGTTGGCAGACCGCGCGTCTTTGACTTCCTTGAATACCTTTTGTCTCGATACTCTGTCATGATCTGGTCGAGCGCGCGCCCGGAAAATGTCAAGCTCATGTGTAATAAACTGTTTAGTAAGGACCAAAGGGCGGAGCTCGTGGCAGAGTGGGGACGAGACCAGCTTGATCTTACTCCCGCGCAGTACAATCAGAAAGTTCAAGTGTATAAACGCCTCGAGAAGGTCTGGTCGAATCAACTTATTGCACAAAGATATCCAGAGGATCAGGTATTTCCTCGGCAATCGAGTTTAGGTTCCGCTTGGGATCAATCAAATACTGTTTTGATTGATGATACATGCTTAAAAGCAGCTGGCCAGCCGTACAATCTTGTGGAGATACCCGAATTTGCCAATCGCCCAGAGCAATTGAAAACAGATGTTCTAGCACAAGTGGTTGCTTATCTGGAAGAATTGCGGTCTCAGGCTAATGTCAGTTCCTTTGTGCGGACCCGGCCATTCAGAATGAACGACGGATGGGATTTTACATGGTCAAATGTACAGCCAGACCTGGTCTAATCTTAAAAGGCTCTGGTAATCCGGTACAGGGCACGCCTAGAAGAATGTTGAAGTTGAATCGTGTCACATGAAGATTGGTTTGAAAAGACAAATAATCTTGTGGACATCTCTGAAAGGGACTTGAGATTGGGTGCCCAATAGCATCGATCCAATGAAGGCACTGAGCATTCGCTTTTTAGGCTCGAGCACATGAAATGCATTCTGCTCTGGATAATCAAGGCACATAGGAAGGCTTCCAGCGGTAGATAGAACACTTGAATCATTATGAACTCCTTTTTTGTTCTTAAAATTTAGACGTGAATTCGTAATCACTAGCTAAAGCTGACACGGCAGTACTTTCAAATGTTCCCGTAAATCCCATTGTATCGTGTCGCGTCGCATCGTGTAACTCCGAATAAGGAATCAGGATCTTATAGCAAGTGCAATAATTCAGGCACATCAATAGCACGCCGTGTGAGGCCAGAAGAATGGTATCAGAGGAAATTTAGAAATAATTTACTTGAAAACCTTGCCGTCGGCCCAGTCGTAGGTCTGGTGAAAATCAGTAAGTATGCTTTGCAAATTTATTTTTAGAGAATATTTAACATACCTTGCCGTTAACGACAATGGGCTTGTCCCAGGCCCATTGGTCGCTGACGAACTCCTTGTCCTCCGGCTTGGTAGGATCAAGCTTGGAGAAAGCATAGCTCTCCCAGTCGGGAGCCACGTCGACAGCGGGGACAATGTCCTGACCCCGGACGAGGAGCGCACCGGCAATTACGGAGTCATTTGTGACACCATATACCGACGCAGCGCCGAAGAGGTACTTACGGCTTGCCTCGAGACGCGTGAAAAATCCGCCTAAAAAGGTTAGTCTGGATAGAAAACCACGCATCGATATCAAAAAAAATTCTTACCAATGAGATTGTTGGACATGAAAGGAAGGGTGAGCTCATCGTTGTATTTGTAGTCGACCCTCCAGAGAGAGTATTCCTCGGGCTTATAGGTCTCCCAGAACCAAGGAAGAGCAGTCTCGCGAGTTTCCTCGTTGGAGTACTTCCTCTTCCATTCGTCAATGGGCAGAGTGGGCTTCTCAAGAGCTTCGAGGGGATGCTTGGGCTTGGGCGCCGGCTTAGGCTCCTCCTCAGCCGCCTGGGGAGCGGCGGCGGGCTTAGGAGCCTCCTTCTTGGGAGCAGCCTCCTTCTTGGGGGGCTGGTATTTGATGGGCTCTTCGATGAAGTTGAGCTGACCAGCGACCGCAGAGTAAATCTCCTGGTTGAAAATGGTCTCAAACCAACGAGTAACGTTGGGGTACTCAGCACGCCACGCCTTGCCGAAGACGTACTGGAAGCCACGGGCGAGGACCGAGGTGGCGAAAAGGTCAGCAAGAGTGAGTCTTTCGCCGACAAGGTAGGTGTTCAGTTGGAGGTGCTTCTCAAGAACGGAGACGGCCTTAAGAACCTTCTTCTCCGCGTCCTCAACCGACTTCTTGTTGTAAGCCTCCTTGCCGAGCAAAGGACTGAACCAGGAGCCGAGGGGAGGAAGAATCTCGGAATTGGCGAAAGATGCCCAACGCAAGATGGTGGCATAATCCTGCTTGGTCTTGCCCAGCAAAGTTGTCTTCTCGTTTTGAGAAGCAACTATCGCAACGTTAGTCTTTGCAACACTGTATATGGACTGCATAAAACGTTCAAAAAAGTTCATATGCTCGGATTTAAATTCTCAACAGGAAGGTGTGATCCCTTTTCAGACAGGGATAACTGTATGATGATAATGTGACTCATCTTTGCATGTAAAGCTTGTGCTAAGGCCGAAATTGAAGGGGAATTGTTAGAAACGTACGGTAAATAGCAATTGCAAGAACCTCAGTCAGGACAAAGCCATCGGCACCCTGGAAGGTAGGGATCTTGCCCAAGGGGTTGAGCTTCAGGTACTCAGCGGAGACGCCTCCCGCTGGCTTAGTTGTGACGACCTCAATGTCCAAGTTATTGGCCTTTGCAACAGCTCGGAGGACAGTCGAGCGGGCGTTGCCCTTTGGAAAATGTTAGTGAAATGTCAAACAAACACGCAAAAAGATTGAAACCCACATCGAAGGTATAGAGCTTGCCGAAAGACATGATGAAGTCTGAGAAGTCTCGGAATTCTCAACCAGAAATTCCAGTCGGACCAGATACGATGAAGAAACAAAAAGGAGCGGAGGAGGGGTATTTGTGAGTAAGAAATTTGGTGCGGGCCCTGACAGAATTTGGCGAGATTAATTAGTGTGCCGCTAAAAAGCTACAGATCACGTGCTGAGCAGTCTGCATTTTGGCTTCAGGTGTCTGCGCAACCACATGTTTAATGGCAGGATTTGTCCGCGCAATTGGTGAGCTCACCTAATTTGCCGGCTACAGCAGCGTTCGACATGAATTCTGTCCGGATTCGGGCATGTTTTAATAACATTGCCGTGTCTTGGAGTCGGCATCCCGGGCGAGGAATAAATTCCGCCTGGACTCATCGATCCATACTCCATCAAACCAGATGTCAATCCTTCTCTCAGTCCGCAGCGCGAACGGGAATTGCAGCACCAGAGATAGACTTCTCTACCAATGAGCAAATCCGCGATGTTTCCCTTCTAGAGAGGGTCCGAGTCATTCCGGCATCGCCGTCGTACTTTACCGCGAAGCCCGATTTTACGGATAGCTTCCTCTCACTCCAAAACATCTACCGCAAATACCAAACCCTGCCAACGGTTCAACCAGGTCATGCGCCGCGTGTCTCTTGGAAGAGTTTGGCACAGTATCGATTGCTCGTTGGAGAACCAGTCAAAGCTGCCAAATATCACAAGGTCCTTCAAATTCTCGGTCGATTGAATCAAATCCACCCTTCGCTCATGCCGGAGGAAGTGCGCAGAGAGATCGACAGCTATAAGCGACTTTTGAATGCCCATGAGAATATGCCGCGAGAACGCACCGGCGATGGGTTTGGTAGAGCTATTGGTGTCGGAAGAAGAAAGTCTTCCTCGGCAAGAGTTTGGTTGGTAGAAGGAGACGGTCAGGTGTTAGTTAACGGCAAAAGCTTGACAGAGACTTTCCCAAGGTTACATGACAGAGAAAGCGCACTTTGGGCTCTGAAGGCTACTCAACGTCTTGATAAGTACAACGTATGGGCACTAGTTTCCGGGGGAGGTCTCACTGGTCAAGCTGGCGCGTTGACATTGGGCGTCGCAAAAGCCCTCCTTATTCACGAGCCAGCGTTGAAGCCTGCACTCCGACGAGGTACGTCACTTCATATGGATTTGTTTACCAATCTCTGCATTTTCACTTCCCGGATTCCAAGTAGTCTGACTTTATTTCTAGCCGGTTGTATCACTCGCGATCCAAGGCGCGTTGAGCGGAAGAAGCCAGGAAAGGTCAAAGCTAGGAAAATGCCGGCTTGGGTCAAGAGATGAGGACCTGAAAATTTTTTTCGGAGAGGAGCTACACTTCAACGGGCCACTATTTTTTTGTACCTTCGATGCATTTTTCGCCGCACCTTCTTTTTCATGTATTGCGGCATGGACAGATCACAACCATATTGTGCTATTCCTCGGAAGCGGATTCGCAATTATTGTATTAGGCTTGTATATTTATGGAGCGCTCCGAGGATGTAACTGTTTAAAATCACCCAAGGCTGAGGGATATAATTAAATTCATATCATGCGCTTTTTCCCCCTGTCAGTCTTCAAATAACACAACCAGATTATCAACCCAGATTCTTTCAAATTTCCTCAGACACTACAATCGGTTTGCTCACCGACCACTACCACTCAGATAATAGGCCCATTTCCGATAAGGCTTTTCAACTATAACACCGTCTTTTGATCCGTATCCAATGCTCGGAGACTATTCATCAAGGGCACAAGTGTTACGAAGAGCACGCATCCGCAAGTTTAATGAACATTTGCTAAAAAAAAAAAAAAAAAATCCGAACGGTAAGCAGCAGGTGTGGAATATACTTCGGTAATGAATGGATGAATAAATTGAGAGCAAAGCCAACTAACGACGCCTTATTGTTTGGAGAATATAGAATGAGGGCCTGAGTTGCCAAATTATTTGCTCCCATGATATTAAAATGGTGCTATAAAACGCTGGAAAGTTTTGGAAGTATCACTGGCCGCGATGTGTAACATCTTCATTGCTTGTAGCACTGCATTAATCTAAATGTTGAGATTCATCATTTCAAGATTATGAAATCCGGCATGCACTTCCACGTCATCCCACCATTGCAAGCGCTACTATTTTTTATTTTACTTCTTCTACCTTTAGTTTCTCTAAGGTATATTGATACCAAATTGACAAAGAAGATCAGTATTTCTCGACATTGCTGAGGAGGCTGGAAGGGGAGATATACTCAAGCACTGAAAACACTGATTGATTAATCACAGAACTGACTGAATGAAAGAGGGCAGAGCTCATCAGATTCAATTTATGAGGGAGCGATACTTGCTTTAGGTAGGTGCTTTTCGATCTTGGTCTACTCTTTGAGAAGATCTGATGCTTAATGTAATGATAGCAAGCTCGGGACTTTCAAAACGCAGTCCAACCAACTTCGGAGCTCAATCTTCTTCAGAATCATCCCCCCCCCCCCCCCCACGGATATTGGGAATGTTCATCAGAAAACCTCATTACTCATACACGGAATACAATACCTTCACCTTCCTGATGGGATCAACAGAGGTTTCGCCAGGCTCTTTCCGCATAGACGTCCAATTTTTTCCATTTTTTGGTTGCAGCATCAATTTTAGACGTTGTTGAAGATTTTATTCTTTTTTTCTTTTTATTTG